ACTTAAGTCAAGTTTTAGTTTTCACCATTGTATTCATCAAGCTTAAAAAAAACAAACAATTTACTGCTTTCAATTATTGCTTTAGGTCAATTTGTTACCGAGATATTAAAAGTGCAAAATCTATTGATATTTTCATACAAAAAACCATTAATTTTGTGATCCTTATTGCAGCAAACCTGTATACTCAGCCCAATTATATTCTTATAGAGAATAAATAAAATGTTATATGTATACCTATAGCGATATATTTTATAACATTTTAATTATTCTCCATAAGAATGATATTGGGGCTTAGTACGCAGGTTTGCTGCAACAAGGATCACAAAATTAATGGTTTTTTGTATGAAAATATCAATAGATTTTGCACTTTACCATAATAATGCATCAAAATTACAGTAGGCGTACGGTAATTTTTGATGCATTATTATGGTACTTGGTAAGTGGATTTATGTGGCATTAAGACACACATAATTGCATTGGAAACTCCCTGAGTACGCAGGTTTGCTTTGACTGGGGTATTATTTTGTTTTTATTCTGGACAAGTTTTCTTCTGAAAAAATACTGTAGTATTTTAATTGTTTATTACCTGAGTAGACAAATTTAACGAGTATAAATAAACTACCCTTCCTTAACGTAAAATCAAAATTATCATCTCCTGTGATTGGAGAGGTAATGTAGTTAGAAAAGATCCTCATTGATAAAACTAGACAAAAACTTAAAACTGACATTTTGAAAGTCTGAAAACATTCTCTCATCAGCTTGCAATTGTTCGTTTCTTAATATTCTGAAGTAGCCCTCTTCTGTTACTTTTGTAACTTAACTATAGGTACTATGTATTCTAAGTCGTGGAACATTTATCATTTCCTAAAATTTTTCATCTCCTAGATCTTCAACTAAAAAATAACTGAATAGTGTCTTCTTTATTTGAGCTCATCCATTACTATCACTACTTCAACTCTGTAGCAGACAAGAAGCAACCGAACGATTGTATAATAATCGCACCAGTGACAATGCCTACTGCAACGATTATTGCTGAGCGATAATCGTCCAACGATGATTGTCCAACGACTGCAGTTCCAGCCGCACCAGTGACAACGTACCTTAACTTGAGTAATAAATTATATCACAAAACTGACACATACTTTCTCCCATTAGCTTGTCAACAATCTATATCTATATAGAGGGGTGCAAAAGTAGGTATACAGTTTTAGTTGGTTGGTAATACCCAAGTTAGCCACCTGATCAGCTGTGTAGTAAGTTTGCTACTAACAGCTGGCAATGTCTTCTCATTGTTACTGTTGTTATTATTACACTTCTGTCATCATGGCTGGTTACATGACCAACGATCAACGAAAGTGGGTTTTGAAAGAATATTGGAAGACAGAAAACTGTGAAAGAGTTCGAGAGAGATGGAGAGAAGAGTTTGATGTTCAAAGCCCAAAAAAGTCAAGAAAAGGCATCAATTGAACTGGGCATTGAACGCAGATCTTTAGGACGCCTAATGAAACGGTAGGTTTGAAAATGTACATTCCAAGACTTATTCATGGGCTACTGGAGGACGACCCTAGTCAAAGTCAAAGTCTTTATTGCCATTAAATACAACAAGTACAATAGGCTCGTCATTTAAATAAACAAAACATGCAAAATCAAATCCATCAACAAACAATTCAAATAAATAAGTTCTAGTCAAAAAACAAAACAAGAAAACATGCACAAACCATGCAGGTGTACCTGAAAATGACTCAAATGGTTACCACCAGATTGCTTTTGTCACAGTTGAAAAATTCGGATATGTGGTAAAAAGGATTTAGAGTGAGCCAATTTTTTACAAAAGTGGAGAATTTTTTTGTGTGTAAATTTCTTGTACATTGGGGCAATTTGTTGAAAAGTTTAATGCCTGAAAGGAAAAGAACACAATGATTTTTTGAAGCCTATTTCTAGGTACAAAGATATCAAACTTATTTCTAGTATCATAACTATGTACATCGCTATTTACATGAAGAGAGTCTTGTCTGGCTTTAATTGCCACCAGACACTGAAAAATGTACTCATTTACAATTGTCAAAATTTCATTTTCAACAAACAAAGGTCTGCAATGGTCAAGGTACCCAGCATTTGAAATTACTCTAACAGCTCTCTTTTGAATTAAAAGAATTCTCTGAGTACCAGTGGCATGGCCCCACAGCCTGGTTCCATAGGCTAAAATAGACTGAAAGAAAGCATGGTAGGCCTGCCTAACTGTTGGCCTTGGAAGCTCAGTTACTACCCCCCCCCCCCAAACAGGTTTCTACGTCATATTGACGTCAGAGACCGGGGGAGCAGTTTTCCAGTCACGGACACTCAAATTTAGTTGTCTGTCAAACAGTTCTAATCCAACCTAACCTAACCAACCAAACTTGCTGTAACATTTCGAAATTCTGTTTTATATTCACAACATGACTTTTCTATTATCCAATGGAATTACTCGAATTAAAATAACCCTGATTGTCGACTGCAGTTTTGTGAGATAATGTTAAACAAGGAACTTCAAGGTGCGGGAATTATTCAAAAAATTATTTGGAGCGATGAGTCTAATTTGAAGCTTTCAGGTGCCGTCAATAGACACAACTGTGTGTCTATTACTGTTTTGACAATCCACACTTGACATTCGAAGAACAGCAGAATCAACCTGGAGTAACAGTTTGGGCTAGCATTTCATGTAAAGGTGTCATTGGACCTGTCATTTCTCATAACACTGTAGACCAACGTGCATACAGGAACATGCTGACTGACGTTATACCACAAATCAAAATCCAGCAGAGTAATGAGGAATTCTACTTCCAACAAGATGGAGCTCCTGCCCATTATGCGACAATCGTGCGTGACCTACTAAAATCGGGAGTTTCCTAACTCGTGGATCGGTTGAATGGCCAGCAAGATCTCCCGATCTGACACCGATGGATTTTTTTCTTTTGGGGAGTTGTCAAAGACAAGGTGTTATCGAAAAAACCTCGTGATCTTAATCAGATGGTTGAATTCATTCGCCAAGCTAGCCAAGACATAGATGAAAAAAAAGAACTTTGCCGAAAAGTGTGTTTAAGCGTAACTTCAAGGTTACACCAGTGGGGTGATATATTACATCAAACATAGGTAGTGTTCAAAGAGGTCCTGTGAACATTTAAAAAAGTATATAGCTTAACATTATATTTTGAAAAGGTTAATATGTAAACCCAAAACCCACATCTATTCCTGAAGTAAGGACCTATACTTAAATCAATGACGCACTTACTACGCAGTATTAACTGGATGTTGTGTTCTTCAATAAGCCGGATTTGAGAAGGATTGGATTCAGTGCGAATGCTTTGCACGGGTCGGCTAGTCCTTATAAAGGGTAAAAACACAGTAAAAGCGATGGGAATCATTATGATATCATTTTATTCTTTATTTCATAAAATGTACATTTTGGTACATGAAATAGTGTCTAGTTTCTTATCTAAACTGCTAAATCTAGTACATTGTGGTAGTCCAAAACATAAAATATTTTATGGGGAAGATTACAAAAATTGCAATCACTTTTGAAACGTAGGTTTTACAGCATTTGAGGTTGTACCCTTTTGTTTACAGTTGAAAGGACCATATACTTAAAGTGTATATACACACAAAATGGGTTGGAAAATGTTATGTTTTGATAGTCCAGGAGCTGAGGAGCATGCATGAAAGTAGTACGCAATGTTATTGCTGATTATTGTAATATGGACTGTGGTGATCAAAATATTACGTATGTCGCCTATTTCAAAAGTGGTCGATCAGGTGGGGGGAGGGGGCAAACATGGCGGGGGGCGCTTTGCGTTAAAACGCTGATATTTCGAAAACTTCAAAAGATAGAACATCGGTTAACATGGGCATACGGGAGGGACGATGGCTAAAGGTGTGGTGACGTCATATCTATATTGACTAATGTTTTCTCTTGAGGCAACACAATTACCGTAAAGAGACATTGGGTCGCCGGAAGACTGCCCCCCGGAAAACTACCCCCCCCCCAAACAGGTTTCTACGTCATATTGACGTCAGAGACCGGGGGAGCAGTTTTCCAGTCACGGACACTCAAATTTAGTTGTCAAACAGTTCTAATCCAACCTAACCTAACCAACCAAACTTGCTGTAACATTTCGAAATTCTGTTTTATATTCACAACATGACTTTTCTATTATCCAATGGAATTACTCGAATTAAAATTAAAATTAAATAGCATGATTTGTCTAGGGGGTATAGTATTCCAGTCGCGGACACGGCTTCCATATTGGTTAGTTGGCAGATTTTGCGACGTCACGTTTCACCTGGGGGGGTAGTTTTCCGGGGGATAGTATTCCGCATCCCCGAGACATTGACATTGTGATTCCAGCGGCAGCGGCGGTCGTGACATGGTAGCGTTTCGGACTAGTGTTCAGGAGGTCTCCAGTTCGAAACCAGCCGGGGGCACTGTCTATTTGCCAAAGATTTTGCTTTGAATGCGACTACTTCTTAACTTAGAATTTGAAGCATTTATAATTTTATTTATGAACAGAACTTTTTTTTTAATAGTAAACCTTTATTCGATTTTTATCTTATATATTTTTTTTATTATCAGGAAGTTGGGTTGGTTAGGTTAGGTTATGATAGTTTAATTTTATAATGCTAAATTTTAAAATTAATTTTATGATAAAAAGTTGTAATTAAACATTCATTTGATTTTTATCTTATAGGTATGTTTTTATTTTATTAGCAAGTTTGGTTGGTTAGGTTAGGTTATGACAGTTTAATCTTACAATAAAAAATTTATTAATTAAAAAGTTAATTTTATAGCTAAAAATTATAAAATTATTTCAATTTTTTTAACTTCGCGGTTCTAACGGCGAACGCTGACACTACTAGATATGTTAGCCATAATCCCTCCCGTGTGCCCCACCGCTGACTCTACTACCCTACAACCACTAAGAACACTCTACTATTATTTTTATTCTGCTTTCGCTTTTTACTTTCTGCAATGTGAACAAGTGGTGCGGGAGCGGGGTAGTGTAGTTTTGTCTATTTTATTGTCCATTCTCATTCGCTAATCGCTATTATTATTTATTTTGTGGATGTGGATTAAAATAAACAGTGTTAATGTTAAATAGAGGTGCAAGACTAGTTGCGCTTTTGCACAGGAGACTTTCGAGATTTTAAGTGATTCCTTTCTTCAGGAATAACCTTTGTCTTGAGAATAAGGTAAGCCAAATTCCTGAGTTTTTTTAAAACATGTTATGTCTTTAGTTTTGAATTGTCTTTGTTGGCATTAAACAGTCACATTCTGACCTCCAATTAATAAGGTAGGCCTACCATAATTTATTTTAGGCGTTGATTCTGCTAGGTGTAGGCCTACTAGAAACCAAAATATAACCTAGAATAGGCCTAGGCCTATTGAAGGGGTTCAAATCACAGCGAAGACTTACTTAAAGAACAATTTGTACGGCTACTAATAAGGTAACAACTATTTTAATAAGCTAAGTAACTAATTGGCATTTCAGTTAAGCAAGCAACCTAATAGGCTAACTTACTGTTTACATAGAATACAAGTTAAAATTGTGGGGTACAGTTTCTTACCTGGGCTATGCTAATATCGATTGAGACTATCGATTCGATAAGTAAACCTTCATGCGATTTTTTAACCATCAGCAAGTTTGGTTGGTTAGGTTATGATAGTTTTATTTTATAATAACTTAGAGATAGGCTATATTTAAAAATATTGATTATTAATCAATATTTTCAATTCGATAGTTTCAATCAATATTAGCATAGCCCAGTTAAGAAACTGTACCCGAATTCTGGAATCCAATAATAGGCCTGGGCCTGTTAGCTACATAAGTTAACTTACTCTCCATAATTCACACAGTCCAAGTTAATGATCTTACCTTCTAAACCCCAGATAGGTTTCAAGATACTTCCCTAACTTAGCCTATATTATTGATTGGACTCAGGCCTAACCCTCCAACTGACAACGTGACTATAATAATCGCGGTGGGTGGTTTCTGTAGTGGCAGCCCGGGGTAGACTTCCATATCTGTTGGCACAAACAACCGAATGAAAATATTGATTACGGTATTCGATTGTTTCATTCGATATCGTTCGGTTAGTTAGGTTAGGTTAACCTTACTTAACAGCCCGACTAACTTATAATATCTGTCACGTTTTTTAACTAAAAGATAATGGTTTTAGTTAAAACAAATGTAAGTTAAAATGGAATAACTTAATGTTCATAGGAAGGCTACCGATTGAAAGGTAAGATTCTAAACTTGCATTGTGTTACATAGATTCAAACTTTACCTCACAAGATAATTTAAGTTTGAAACATCACTTTTTGTAGAAGTTAGAACTAGGCTACTGTTACTAAGACCTAAATTATTTAATTCCCCCCATTCTTATTAACCTTGTAGCCTACAATAACATAAGTTAGGTACCGTACCTACTAACTTACTGGTAAGTTTTTAGTCTACATCCAGTTCTGACAATTAAGTTTCAATTGGACACATTGGTAACTTATTGGGTCAATATGAGCCAATGTTCAGTACTGTAGGGTCATAGTCACAGTGAAACAGTTTTACTTCCTACAGTTTATCCAACAGTTTACCTTTTTGGTCAGCAGGGCCGCCTCGAGGGCGATAGACGCCCAGGGCGTGATTTTTATCTGTCCCCTCCCCTAACAGAGATATTTGGGGTTTTTGCATCAACAGAACCAACGTCTTTTAAGTTTTTTTTTACAAACCCTATAATATGAATCTACCTATTTCTGAGATTGACTTATTAGTACGAGTTGTACATTAAGTTATAGTCATAGTCATAGTTCTTTATTCATTTTTTTGTATGTAAGATACCGGTACGGTACATACTTTAATAATTTTATGTAGGGATATGGGTTGTTAAACTGATGATTGAAAATCTAACTTAATCATTGAATTCCCGGAACATTTAAAATTCCATTAATAATAGTGTGTTTGAATACGTAAGTTGTCCTGAAAGGAAAGTACTCTTCATCAAAATAATAATCTTGAATTTTAACTTAATGATGGTTATTAAGTTGACTATATTTATTGGTATTTAACATTTAAGGGGACTGTGACTGAAAAACTAATCGAAAATTGAAAAAAAATTCTTATCCTTTTGAAGTTTTTTTTTATGTTAGGCCTATGTCGTGTTATTGTAAAAAAAGTTTAATTAGGTAGGTACTAATTTTTTATGGAAAAAAAGTAATTTTTGAAAATTTCAAAAATAACCCTTAGAGTAAATATATTTTTATAATCTTCTATGTAATAATAGGCCTAATTAATAGGCTAAATGACAAGTAAAATGGAATAATTTAGTAAATTGTTAAATTTTGGAACTCAATTAAATAGCAACAGTTATTTTGAAACTTTTTTTAAATAGATTTTTGTTCAAATTGGTCTTGATTGCAAATATGTTCAAATGGATGCTGGTCAAGACAGGTTTGATCCAGTCGTAATCAAAATGACAGAACCAGTACTACTGGTACTATCTCACCTATAAAAACACAAAATATGCGCTGCAAACAAATGTTGATTTTGACTTCTGGAGACCCTCAAGAAAATTTAACTTAATGTGGTTAAACCTAGGGTTTGACCAGGAAGACTGCATTCGGCTATAAGTCCTCTTGAGAAAGTAGCTAAAAACAAATAAACTATAGAGATACCTAAATAGTTTCTTTTCCAAACAATATCCAAATTTAATTACAATTTTTTTTAATACAGCAGCCTAGGCTTTTTGTTACATATGTTACTAATGTTTTTTAATAGCTATTTACATTACAAGTGTAGTAAGAGCGTTTTTACATCACGCAGGTGAATGTTGTGCAACGAGCGAAGGCGAGTTGCATAATTCACCGAAGTGATGTAAACACGCTCTTGCGTAACGTGTAACGTACAAGATTTTACCTGACCCGACAATATTCAGGAGGTTACGAGCAATATGCTTCATTATAAATTTCACTCATCTTCTAACAGTAACGTTAATTTACAAACAAAAGCTTGGTTAGGAAAATTCTTCAAAGCATAACAATAAAATTCAAACACACAGCTGATTTCTAGCGTTGAACGTCGTTGGCTCCATAGAGGTATATTTTTTAAGTTATCCACTCAATGTTATTTAAATGGGTTTCATTACATCACCGAGTGAGTTTTTTTCAACTTTACATCACTCGAGAAGTAAGGAAGTTGTATACATCACGCTTGGGATAGGGAAGTTTAACATGGCGGGTTAGGTAAAAGAAATTTCACCCATCGTCTTGAATTTTAATGATGGTTATTAAGTTGACTATATTTATTGGTATTTAACATTTAAGGGGACTGTGACTAAAAAACTGATCAAAGATTGAAAAAAAATATTTTTTTATCCTTTTGAAGTTTTTTTTTTATGTTATGTCGTGTTATTACTGTAAAAAAAGTTTAATTAGGTACTAATTTTTTATGGAAAAATAGTAATTTTTGAAAATTCCAAAAATAACCCTTAGAGTAAATATATTTTTATAATCTTCTATGAAGGACTAGATAAACATTCTATCTTAAAAAAAAATAAGGCTATATCTCTTATAGTTCTCTCTAGGCCTATATATAGCATATAGTTAACATAGTATTATATGGGCAGTCATAGTCCCCTTACGGAGGTAGATCTTCTTATATAGGCTAACTGAACAAAATGAGTAGGCTATAACACAACCCATTGGGCCTGTACCAATAGCAGCACCAATAAAAAAGTAATTATTACAAAGTAGTCTGTAAGATAAATCTTGGAGGGGCCCAAGAGTTGTTTATTGCCATGGTTACTGCTATAGACAATAGAGAAAGTAGGAGGAGCGAATTACAAAACGGAGTCTGTTGAACTTCCTGCTTCAGCTTCCTGGGTCTGGTTTCTCATTAGGGTCTGTTTGTATTCCAGTTTGCTGCATTCCCACATGCAATCAGATACTGAACAAGCTGTTTAATGTGTATACCAGTCTAGATGTGAGATATTTTTACAGTGATACATCACAAAGCAGTTTACTGACATGTATATATTTTTGTTTCATTGTAGTTCTTTGGAAAATGATAATCTGGGGCATTAGTGCAATTTATGTATTTTTATAAACATTTTATACTGGTACTGCTGTGAGTAAAACGATTTATGCCAATCTGTATTCTTATTGAGTCTTATGATTTCACCATAAGATTGTGAATCTATTTAAGGAAACTTAATACAGTAGGTCACATGTCTTTTGGGAAGTTAACAGAAGTATCCTAGCTTTGGACACCACTCTATGAAAAACCATTTAATTCTCACAGTACATATTCAGAAATTTGTTGTGTATGAGAATTAAAGCAAACATTGTGAAAAATCCCTTAGAACTTGTGACCATGGTGGAAGTAAATATATTTACTTCCACCATGCTTGTGACTACTGTATTTAGCTAACCATGCAATAGATGGATTATATATGTTCACTTAAATTTGTTTGAATTACAGTACTTATTTCATTCAATTAGTAAATTTAAGTTTTTAAATGGCGTGTGTAAAAAGAAAATGGTAAAAGTGTATTAAGTTAACAGGTCAGACTGAAATTTGTATGTATATAGGCCAAATATTTACAAGTATTTATTCACTGATTAAAACCCTCGAGACAAAGTGTTTATACCTATTACAATTTAGGATGATATTATTAAATGAGAAATGTTTCTGAGAATCTATATTCTCATTGTATGCAGGCCTAGTGTTCATAGGCTACATTAAAAATAACTTACAAAATCTTATTTTATTTTTATTAATTACCCCGTGTACTGTGTTAGGGGGCAGCTCACATTAAAGATGAGTATATACAATCAACAAACTGCAGATAATTGTGTAACAATATTTTCATATTCAGCATTTTGTTGTGAAGAATGAGTTTACTATCAAAAGAAAACAACAAAGAGTTTTTGATAATAGGCAGAACTGATTATCACAAGTGGTTTTAAGGAAGTTATTTATCTAAAGGTGGGTGGTATCCTTTCTGATAACTGCTATGTGTTTTGTTAGAATCTAGTTTAACAGAACCAATAACTATCGTTCAAAAGATGTTAAGTTTATCTTTATTGTATTCTCTTATTCATTTATGCTAGGCTATATACAACTTCTTTTCAGTTATTTTTAAAACAATATTTCCACTTCAACTTTTGTTTTTGTATTTTTAAATTAGATGATCAAATTAATATTTAGTAATTACTTTCCTAACTTAAATTTTACTGTTCTAGGAAATCAAAACCCGATATTGAAAAAGAAATCAGATAAAATGTGTTTCCTAACATTTGTATATCGCTATTATGTAATCAAATTTAAGTGGAAAAAATATTTGTGGCACAAAGATCGATCTAGGAAGGGAATAGAAGATTTGCCTCCACAAAATGCTATCACTAAACACTGGCGAAGGATCAAGGACTGGTACCATTCATTTAATGAAAAGCATTATGAGATGATAGAAAAATACACGTCCGCTAACACTCTAGAACACTTTCTTCTGATGGCCGCTGTAGGTTGGTTGGTTGGAACTTTGTTGACTGTCCTATACTTCTACAGCAGTGTGAGTAGAGGCGATGCAGATGTGTTTTGGTGTTTTATGATCAAAGTTCCTCTCCTCGTGTTGATAACAGTGTCTCTAGCCTTCACGGAGACTGGTCGTTGCTTGTTACTGCTGGTGCCTCTACAACTATGCTCTTCTAGAGGGCAAATGTACATCCACGGGACCGTGTTACTGTTGGTCACCACGGGGCCATTGATGAATCTTAAACACAACCTGAGCGTGATTCAAGAAACTAGTACCTGCCAGCAGAAAGGTGTAGCTGACGCAGCAGCTGAAATAGCGGACATCCTTTTTGGACCTTTTACATCCTTTAAACAGGCAGCGATGGAAATCGTCAATGGTATCAAAACTATGGTAGCCAAGATTCAAGCTATATTGACGAGTTTTAAAAGAATGGTTATGACAGTAGCTGATGCCATTCAGGGTGCGACGCGATGGATCAATAGTAAAATTAACGGATGCAAGACTACTGTCGGTACAACTTACCAACACTGCATGGATGCTTTCACCTGGATGTATGACGAGTGTAAGGTGAGCGTGCCTAGTGTGTTTGTGAAGATGTGCGCTGTCACTGAGTTTGCTAGCAACCTCTGCAGTACTGTTAAACCTGGGGAGTATCTGTGTGACTTGGTGTTCTTCAATGTGGATCCGCTTGTAACTACTGTCAGTCAAAGAATCAGCCGACTATTGGACCGAGCGTACACATTGATGTACTTCTCAGTCAACATACATCACGAGTTTCACATAGACTCAAATAGCCAGAATATCATGAGCGATATCAAAGAAAGATTAAAATCGTCTTTAGTAAGCTTAATCATAATGCATTATTTTGCTAGTGTCGTACAGCTTGCAATGTTTTTATTTCACTTTTGTTTCCTGTGGATTGTTTATCGCCACAGATCGAGGTACTTGCGGAGAGATGAGTTTGACAATTACTATATGAGTGGGAGATTGAAAGATATTGATCATCTTGAAGCTCTAGCTGGTCGAGAATCTATATTTCCATTGACAAGAGTTGAAACAAACAAATACATCAAAGTGTTTAGCTGTAAGATTGTTAAAAAGGAGTGGAAATCATTCTCTTTTCCGACTTTTACTACTATAAAGACGGGCTTGTATCTAGGAATTATTGGGATGGATTATTTGTTATATTTTATTGCTGAAAAATGTCGAACATTTATGCTCGCTGTGATGCAATCTTTTGGTTCACGAACAGAAGTCTCTATTGTAGGGTCTGGCTTTCTAGCGGAGCTAAGTAGACGTGTGGTGCGAGCATTGAATTATATGGATTATAATTTTTATCAAGCTCACTTTATGCCTTGCATACCCAATCCAAGGCCTCCCAATTCTTGGACAAACCGTGTAATTTATTTTTGGCTTATTGTTCTATGGTTTTCTTGGGCGATGAAGCCCTTTGTTTTGAGATTCAGACATGTAGTGATGGACTATTACAACCCTGACGTTGCCGACAGACGAGCAAGATGGCTTTACAATCATATAGTGTTCAAGAGAATGAATTTTCTAAAAGTAGTTAGTATCAAATTAAGGGGAAAGTACAGTTCTGATCAATCAAAGAGGACATTTTCTATTGCTGACTTCTTGAGAGCCAAATATCCATGGATTACCTACATAATAGGAAAAGGTCTGATTGGCTCATATTGTAAAATTTGTAATCATGTTGTACCACCTTTGTATTACTGTCCCACTAAAGATTGCTCAGGAGTCTATTGCGACGACTGTTATATAAGTGTTCAAGGGTTGTGTTACATATGCAGACGAGAAATGATGGTAGCTGACTTTGAAAGCAAGCGGATCAATTTCAAGAGCATTACACCTGACTCAGAAGAAATCGCTGATGTTAAGGATGAAGAGGAAGGATTTTTCAAGGTTGTTGATGATGAAAGTGATTTAAATTTTAGCTACCAGGACCAAATGACTAGTTACAGAGTGTCTGAATCTGAAGAAAATTCCCAAACTATTCAGTATACTTTTGTTGAGAGCAATGATGACCATGTCCCGTTCAAATCAAAATTAAAACACAGAAAACTCCGAGAGTTTAATGGAAGTAAGAAGTTGAGCTATGAAGAAATGTTTGAGATGCTCTAAATTATTTTTGTTTATTTTCCTGTCATATTTACTCAGGTTACCAGTATTACATTAAGGGAGTAATTTTTATGTAAGTTTACCACAAATAGTTATTCTTATACTATGAAATAATTTTTTGTTGTTTAGTTTGACAATTACTATATGTCAGTTTTAAACATACCGAGTCTAACTAGGATGTAACTAGTAAAATGTTATACTGTAATAAAAGTTAACTTGATTGTATCATGTTTTTACTCTTCACAATTTACTTTCAATAAGAGTTATTACAAATTAAAGGTATGATATTCATAAAATATGAATGCGATTTAGTACTTAGGACACTCAAAATTCAGATATTTTCATAATCAAAATTTTCAACATTAAATAGTATATATTATTCAATGGTTTTATGGATACCCTACTCATCCCAAATAAAAAAAAATGCTCTAGTTGCAGCAAACCTGGAGACGAAGCAAATTTAGGCCTACATTTTGCCTGATTAGATTTTCACTAAAATATGTACTTGGGCTTGTCAGATTTATTCCCCCTTAAAACCTAACGAGTACTAGTTTTGCTGCTACAGGGTTAGTAGTAAAGTTTGTTCTAATAAAATTTCAAAAAACTTCAAAAATTAATAAATTTAACAGATTCGATGGCTGGTCCCTTATTCCTATCGCTTGACTTGTACTCAACACAGTCAAACCACACTAAACCAGACTAGTTCAAAGTAAAAATAAAACAAAAGTGATATCGTGGTTTTCCAAAAATTTGTGTTTAATTTGATATCAAATTTCATACTAATCAGTCATTGGACATATTTTTATTCCCAACAGCCACTGATGGGATTAAAATATGTAAATGTTGACTGATTTCTGTTAAATTCAGTAGCAAATTAACAGCAGTTTCTAGAGGAACCACAATAGTGCACTGTTTTATTTTTATTAGTAATGTTACAGAAAGTTTTTTTGTCATATACAGTTCAATTAAGTGGGAGTTCAGTCGAGAGGTAGAAGTTGTGAACAAAAGCTTGGAGCAAGATTTCAACCCCGGGGCCTAAGTTAAAGTCCGCCACTAGCCTTTAGTATTGGACCATGTACTTACAGTACTACATTGTTACCAAAATGTTATTTCACTCCAATCGTCATCTCACTCTAAAACTTATCCAATATTTATAATTGCTTGATTTTGCGTTTGTTGTTGTTTGACGTTTATAAGTTTTCAGCACATCAGTGGTTGAGTTAAAATAGTGTTCGACAGTTAGTGAAAAACTCAACAATGAGTCAATTGTGTGTTTAGTGTTACTAGTGAGTGAAGTGAACATTCGTTTCGGGGATTCTAATACAAGGATTTCTTTGCAGATCGAAAATCCGAGAAGCAAGAAATGAGTAATAATGATCCAAGATCCGCCAGAAACATTCACAGTACTAATGTGGCTTTGGAACAAAATAATCCGTGTTTAAGAGAGAGCCAGGCTTCTCTGAAGTGCTTGGACAGAAACGGATACGACAATGATAAATGTCAAGATTTCTTTGCCAACTATAAAGCCTGCTTGAAGTTCTGGACTAAAGTCAGGAGAGAACGTCGATGGAAAGGTATCAAGCCTGAACTGCCCCCGCTGGAAGAAAGGGAGGCTATACGGAATGAATATTATAAAAAGTGAAAATTTGTTATTTATCAAATAGTTTTATTAGTGAAAATATATTGTTAGACGTGTGTGTGTGTGTATTTGTCCTCCATTAATATCCATTAGGTTCTGTGTAGGGCTAATTGTGTTTCATAATACTGTATAGTAATTAACTAGGACCGGCTCTTACTTAGCCAGGAACATAAATGGGGGTACATAAATCAGAGACAGCTGGGTCTAGTTGCAAACAATCAAAAAGCTACCAACTTTTCTCGAATCTGGCAACCTTTTTATTTTATTAAAGGCGTTTGTACAGCTTTCACACTCCAGTGTTTTATGTTCGTTCATATAAATGTTGCTGGATGACGTTAGGGCCAGGCTAACCAAAACAGTACAAAAGAAAGCACACCACATAACATGACTTGAGAAGTAATAAATAATTTTATGTCATTGGACAATCTCCGTCAACAACAAGCATGAATTGTGGATTGTCCATAAAACATAAGCTTAAAAAAAATTACTATGACTGAAGTAAACAGAAGTGGTATTTAAAAGTTAAGTGGGAAATTACCTAAGTAAAGCCCTTAGTTGGTACAGTAATATATCAGGTTGTTGATAGGTTGTTGTATAGGTGTTGATAACAACATTTAATCTTATAAACAAATTCAAAGCAGTATACTCTCAGCCAAATCAAAGTGGAAGTAAATAAGAACATTTAGTCCAGTGACAAATATTTAAATCAAAGTATTTATTAATAACAAGATCAAAAGTCAATACTGCAATTTCATTTCTAAATATTATTATCCATTGAGTTTACTGTATAATTTACAATAAAAAGGCATCAAGGCATTTTAGTACCCAATTTGTATTTAAATTTAACAGCCACATTCACATTGTGATCATATCTAGTCCATTCTATCCATTGACTATAGATAGAAACCTTAGTAATCAATGACAACCATAGATGATTAAGAAGAAAGCACAAGTTGTTATAGATTAATAATACCATCATGCTAGGTACCTACACAACATTTAAATAAATTATTATGAAGTTTTGTGGTTGTCAGTCAACAAACTCCTTCTCTACAATTTAAAGAATATTTTTGCCAAATCATCATTCATAAAAATGTAAATGAACTCAATTGATTTGTGTATGATTTTCATTTTACATTACTAAACGAGAAAGTTTTATTTTGCGATGTGCCTTCTACAAATAATTTCAGTTAGGCCTACTACAAACAAAAGCGAAAGGCAAACTATAAATTGCAAGTACATTTGATATCGATTCCTCAATTATTACGTGTTGCACGTTGGCATTCCTGTCGGAGGGGGCGGTGGCAGCAACAGATGTGTTGCCTTGCCATCTGCCAGATTTTTGTTTTGCACTGGTTCAGCCGCGACTAGACGTCACTTGACCTTCAAAACAGCTGTTTCCTTTTACTTGACGACGCCGCCGCTGCTACTACGAATAGTCCCATTGAGCTGTCTGCTGAAGTGCCCAAGGCTTTGTTTGTTTTCAATGTGTTTCAGTGTGTTTTCGTATATGGTTCACTTGAGTTCTCTTTTATGGATTTAATTATATTCGTGTTATTGTAAGAAATGTGGAGTGTGTGTATTTGCAAGTCTTCTTGGTTTATATCTGGATTGTAATTTTGGTAAGAAAAGGTATGTATTATGAGCTTTATTTTTGAACACATTTTAATCTGGCATTGTCAGATTTGTCACCTATCTCTTGATGTAGTGGGTTCATGAGTCCTCGGATCGGAATAATGTTCTACATTTTTTAGTTAGGTAGGGGAGAATTTTCACCTATCATTGCATTATGTAACAGTAAAAAGTAGGCCTACTTTTATTGCGGGATAAAGAAAACCAAATATTTATTTTGAATTAAACATAAACTGAACTCAACCTAACTTAGGATTTGAAAAAAGTCGACGAAGAAAACTCATTATCTTTTAATTATCTTTAGTTAATTAACTAAGGCCAATGGTTGTCACCTTTCAATCTCACTATTTCCAAGTCATTTCCAGTCAATATTTTCCAAATAAAATACCAGTAGATCTGTAAAAAAATGTAAATGAAAACCTGCTGTCTGAGGGAAGTTAATTTGTCTGATAGGATTTTTACCAAAATTTTAAATTGAAATATATTTATTATAGAAATTACAACAGCTTGGCCTCACCAAGTTTAAAAAACTTGTCGGCGAAGTTCATGTGATGCATTAGGCAAAACATGCCAAACATTAACAAACCAAAAGTTTTTTTTTCCTAGAACAAAGTTTTTTTAATATACTATTTCTACGGCGGTTTGTGGCAGGTGCTTTAACTTGAAACAAAGTAGTTGGCAGCACACTAAAAAATCTAAAATGTAATGGCATAAGTAATTGCTTTATAATATCCTACGGAATACTATTTGGATTGCTCATATTTTGTATATTTTCCAACTTTTATTGTTTATCCACAAAAATAGGGACAATTATGATTGTAGAAATGATATACATAGTTTTAGCACTAGAAAATAGAAAAATAAATGTACCACAAGTTCGTTTAGAAAAAACTAGGTCCGGACACATTGTTATGGCATTAGGCTTTATAACCGGTTACCAAAGGCTGTGATTTGTTTAGATGACAAGATTTTTAAGAGAAAAGTGCATGCATTCTTAATAAGTAACCCACTCTATAATGTAAAACAATACTTTGATCTGCCTCATAATTTATTTAATGAAATAGCATAGAGCATTATATATAGACATATTTTATATTTTTCTAATTTTTTTGCAATCTCTCGCCATGTACACTGTATTATTGTATTTTTATATTTCATTGAACCTCAGATTATGTCTTATATTTTTTAGGTATTCATTGAATATGTGACGCATATAATTGTATGAAAACAACATGACTTGTCCATGCATGTAAAAATGACAAATACACGTCTTATGTCCTATCTATGTCTTATGTCATATTTGGTCCCCTTTGTTTTTCATGGTCCGTAGACCATGTTTGAATTGTTTGTTTGCACAGCAGACTGGTAGTGCCATATTTCTATAAATATTTCTACAAACAAGACAATAATTATTCCCCATTCAAAAACATTATTTAATGAGTACCTACCTAAGGTTTCTGCTACGGGCAAGGTAAAAAGTATTTTTCCATAAAATTTAATAGTATTATAGGATGAAATAAATAAATTTACCAAAATTGATCAACATACATCTATAGACCTAAACAAGCAAACTACAACAACTAGTCCAAAGTTTTGGGATTTAAGTACGGTAGGCTGATCCAATTATTGAAATCACATAGTGCAGTAATTAAGATGCTAACACCTAGGCTAGCAAAACACCATAAATATATACAGTCACTTAAGAGAAATATTGTTATGTCTAGTCTATAAAATTGGAGATATCCGTTGGTATATAAAATAAAGTTAAATTTGGAATGCTTTGGAAGTATGGTTTGAATAGTTTCTACATATGCTTGAGAACAGTGATTTGATGTAAACCCCACCCAACAGCAACAGTTAGTTGACGACATGGAGATAAAACCCTGCACTATACAGGAAAGACAAGCTAGAAATTGTTCAGACGGACGTGATTGAAGCCAAGTGTTTGATTTAGGAAGCAGTGAAGCTTACAAGGATCTTATTATTGCGGCATTAGTCTGTCTTTCTCTCTCTGCTTGAGTGGTCTACTCTCACTTATGCTGGCAACACGAACAGCCTTTGACATAATTACTGTAATGATTGTAGAATAGTGTTAAATGTCAGTAAAAAATTATTTTACCAGCTCAGTAGAGGTAGGCCTATCTTTTTTTTGAGTGCCATGAAATAAAAAAGTTAAAAAAATATCTACACGATAGAAAACTTCACTAGCCTATGTAGATTCATTTTTAAAACAACTTTAAGGCAGGTACATTATTACAACATTTCAAAATTGCATTATTTATTAAATTTAATTTGACTTACACCGTATTTATATTTAGTATTGTGGGTTTTTTAAGGAGGGAAGTCATGACTTTGTATGCCTAAATGGTTAACAACTTTATAACGATTATTATGAATTACGATTATTATTATTATTAACGATTATTATTATGTCTATTAGTCCCATCTTAAAACTCTCAACATACAATGTTAATACTTAACACAATGGGATTAATTTGATTTCTCTGTAAAAATCTGCAGGGAGAAACTAAATTTTTCTGAAGCATTACATTTGATGGATAAACAATTGGCCTAAAAAAAATCTAAAATGAAAATAATACATTGGCCTAGTTAACATAGAAATACAATAATACAGTGTACATGGCGAGAGATTGCAAAAAAATTAGAAAAATATAAAATACGTCTATATATAATGCTCTATGCTATTTCATAAACATGTAAGTACTTTATTAAATTAAAACCTATCCTTTACCTAAATTGTAGGACTTCAACCATTTTCTTGTATGTTACCTGGATTCCCTTTTAAATAGTGGATGATTGTGCAATTTTCATGGAAAGGAAGAATCAGTCTTGCAGCAGATAACTGAGATATGTTGTAAGTGCTTCCCGACAGGTTTAAATGTCCCATTGTTCTTACACATGCCACCTAGTCACCTAGTAGTTTTTCAACCAGCTTCAGAAGTTTAAATTCTCTTAGGCCTGCCAGTACCGTACGTTTTTGGGGAACGAGCTGGTAGAGCGTGGAACTTCAGTCTTAAACAGTTCCAGGACAAAATAAAACCAGTGTAAAAACCATGCATGTTTTAGTTATATCCACTTTTTAATTGTGTAGCACTACTCTAGGACAAAATGTTTAGATGTTTGCTCATGCCAAAACGAACCATTATATTTATTTATCCTAGAAAAGCTATGTCTGGTAACAGCTAGTAACTTATGAACAGGAAAAAATTTTCAATAAACAAATTATAAGTTAAATCTAATATAGTACAGTGCTATAGTATAATAGTATAATGTATAGTATGTATAGTATAATGTTACATAGTGATATAATGTTACATAATGTGTTAGTGCATATGTATATGTTATACCATGGATAAAACATACTCCATTAGTTGCTCAGTCTATGGTTATACTCAATTTTTATGTTATATACATAAGAAAGTATAAAGTATAGGTACTCCATCACACAACTTAACAAATCATCTGTACCAATCTAACCTTATAATACCTTTTAGTTTTTATTCATCAGAAAAATAGAGATTTCCTTCATGAAACCTACCAATAGTTTTATGCTCTTTAGTAATTTTTCATTCCCTATAATTTGTGGCGGATTTTTTAAAGAAGAGTATCTGGATGGTTAGATATAGAAAGTTAACGTCAACCTTATTTTCACAGCAAGTAAGTTGATATGCAAAACACTTTTATTTACTTTTTAAAATTTAAAATTGTAAAGCAAATCTAGACTAAGGTCAGAAATAATAAGAAGTGCCGAGAGTTGAGATCAGTGCCAATGTCAGCTCGTTAAGTCAACCACAATAGCTGCTAACTGGTTAATGGCAGTAGTAGACCTATCCTGTCTGGACTCTGGAGGCCAAAGATTATCATAGGATACTACCGTAGCCTTTTTGACAATTTAAAATTGTATGGTATTGCTTCCCCATTCCTTGTTATAGGTAATAATTGAACATATCAATAATAATTAAGAAAAATATAAATGATGAGAATGAGGTGGGGGCAAAATATGGGCCCGATGAAACAAATGTGTGCATTAAATTTGAGTATGTACAATCATAGACAAATAGAATAAATATAGACCGACAGCAGTGCTGTGGTTAGTGTATGTTCTGGCGTCCACTGCAAGGAGTGACGTGTAGTTATGGCGCACACCGTCTGCTGGTCTTCGGCTCCTCGCCTGTAGCGGTGTATAATGTAACTACACGGCACTCCTAGCGGCACATCACAGAACTTTCCTTTGACAGTCTATATTTATTCTATTTGTCTATGGTACAATCTATGAAAGGGTTTTGAAATTTCGATCTTCCAGCGTTGCCTTCTGGCCATGAAGACAACACCATAAATCGTTTGGCTCCTGGATTTTATTTTGGTAATTTTCCTGGCTACTTGGAAAATTAATTAGTAAAAGCCAATTTGGCAAACTAATTGGCCCTGAACTTCAGGAGCCTGTTTGGATTTCATTCAGTCCCAAACAACAGAAATTTACATCATCAACTTTTCATATTGCAATAAGCCTATACCTACTCCTAAACCTACTAATTTTTATTTGCTAGATTAATGATGTAGTAACATAATGATGTAGTAATTTGTAAAACTTCAATATAACTTTATTTTCACCACACTATGATGTTTTTGGCTGTATTACATATGTTAATTGGTGGCTGAAAGTTACGTTTTGCTGGCCATGCCAGCTGTCATCGAAATTTGGGGACCGAGCAGGTTTTTACAGGCCGGGGCCGCAAAATCAGCTGTCCGCTTACTTACTTAAAACATGAATGCATTTTAAATACACAATCAAAATCCATAGCATTGCAATAGAATTGTGTTATTGTCGCCGTTGCCTAGCAACTATTTATTTTTATTTTTGCTGATTCCTCAAATTATTTCTTTACATAACCTTAATGTTGTAGTTGTGTTGACTATCAGTGTGCATTATTATAGTGGTGAATAGTGGTAATAGGGTATAGTGTGGTGATAAATAGCGTTCGTACCACGGGCAGAAATGGATTTGCAGCTCTCGATCGATTTAAGTTCTCGACTTCGTCTCGAACTTAAAAACTATCTCGAGCCGGCAAAACCTCATTTTTGGCCCTAGGTACGAAATATACTATTGCCACAATTATATTGTAAAACTGAATCATACAAACATAAACAATAATAAAAGTACAGATGTTTATGAACAACTTATAGCCACTGAGCTAGTTATCTCAATACAAATCCAGTCACATGTGTGGGTAAAGTAAAATTATAGATAGGGCCTACATTGGTTATTTACCTTTATCAACACTTAAGTTGAATAAAAAATAGACATATCATTTTATCCTTTCAGGTTTTAAGAAAAGTAGACTGTTTTACTAAAAACTGAAGGTGGCCTTGAATATATTTTATTCAGGGCCCCACAGTAAGTGATGGGTGATAACGATGATTGGCAATCTCTGTAGCTGTCTTGAGTATAGATAAACTATACAAAACATGTCTTGTACTCAGTTATCTTATCATAAGTCCAGGGAAATGACTCATGTTACTTTGAGCAACTCTGCACCTCATGACACATTTGAGTTCATTTGAACATCAATTAAAAAATCATGAAAAAATGGAAAAAACACAAGGAAAACGTTTAAAGGCAAATTTAGTTGACCAGAAACATAATTAAAACTTGTGATAGGCTATAATATAGGAACATTCGGCGACAGAGTATGTCTGTTTCTTATTTTGGTACATTACCTACAATCAATGAAATCATCATGCCTAACATCGTAAAAGAAGTCCTGGTTCGCGAACTCATTCAAGTTTATCTTGCCTTACACCTTCAAACCAAATTTCATCAAAATCGGACAAAAATTACTCAAGTTATCGCGTTCATGGACACACACATATATATATATATATATATAAAAATTTGAACGAATGGTGTTTTTGGCCTCTGGTGACATCAAAATGAAAAAGTAAATCGGTCCCGGGCCTAGGTTTTACCGTGCCGCCTACGGTAATAGATACTTCCCTATAGGGAAATTCGCTAATACCGTGCCGCCTACGGTTGTTTGGTTATAAGTATTCCTTGATCTGCTTATAATCATATGGCATATTATTTCTTTTTTAAACTTCTTATAATTGGTGGCAATATTACCATTAACAACATTAGATTAAACTCTTCAGGTTTATTAAAATCCATTTTGATCTTTCTTTTCTTTTTGAATTCCCTTAATTACTTTATTATTCTTGATTGCGCCATGTTTAATAGAAATTACTAATTTCTATATTTAACAAAAGTATCTTTATTACTGAACTGAATGTGTACAACTTGTAAAATAATTCAAATGTAAACAATAACAATAAAGCAATAATATGCCATATGATTATAAGCAGATCAGGGAATACTTATAACCAAACAACGGTAATAGCTACTTCCCTATAGGGAAATTCGCTAAAAATAAGTTAAATAATTATTCCTTATTATAGGCGCAAATCTTCATGATAACACAAACACGTAAATTTAATTTAGAGTCTTCCATTTAAAATGGTAATGTTTTTGTTCCCTTAAAAGTTGTATCAACAAGGTATAGCTTTTTTGGGTTTCACATGTCAACCAAAAGACGCGTTGAATAAAACACATGTTTCACATGTGTACACGTTTCCTGACTAGAAACATCCTTTGTACACTTTGACCTTTGTATTGCTGCTGCTAGCAGTGAATTATAAACTAGGCAATTTGTGGAGCGAGTTACAAACAATCCTTTGAGTGAGAAAACAATGCTGAGTGTCAATGTGATGTTATGAAAAGTACACTTTTAGTACAAAGTAATACTTAGTGCCCAGACACGTAATCATTGGTGTCTGATGTGGATTACTATGTATAATAATTTATATCTTTTGTAGTTTAATTTCTGAATAACACCAGGAGATCTTTAACCGATTGAAAGTGCAATAAAAACAGTCCATTAAAAAATTCATGATAATAAGATATGTAGGCTACCTTTTATCAGCCTAAGGTGGTCAATTGGTTTTACTTCAGTTTTCATCATTGGCAGAACAATGTTATTGTTATTTGTGAGTACTTTTTCTCCTTTATGAACACATTTTTATCTTACTTAAATTCAATCCTATTTCGTGTTGGTAAATTATTGTATCCAGATGTAGGGTAGTAATCGAAACACTGCATTTAAATCTTTCAATTTTTCCCTATTTTTATTTTTCAATAAATGGTACTAAACCACCAACAATCTCCTGCTTTACCAGTGTAGCAAACTCTGTACACTGGTAATAGAGTTATTTCAGTCATGTGGTTAGAGAGTTTTCTTAGACGATTACAGTGAAATGTCTCAGAGAAGTCAACCTACAATTCCACTAGAATGTACAACATGCGTACATTAACCGTGATGACTGTAGCGTTACGACATTGAGTTCATCGTACCCCATCCCATGGTTACTTTGCATGGTTGTGTTTGAGAACATGTAACCCTATTATGAGAAATTATAAACTTGTAGAAAATTTTTTTATCATTTTACTGAGTTTATCTAAGCTTGTAATAATTTATTTATGGACCTTAAAGAATAAAAATGGTTGTTAATTTTCCTGTGTGTATCATCTAGTAGATTTGTGTTTATCTAGATGACAACATGTTTCATAATAGTTACAGTTTATAATTACAAATAATTTTATAAAAGATATGTTTTTGTCACAGATAATGACAGAAGAGGGAGAAGGCTTGTCCTGGTTGCATGATCTTCTGAAAGAGTTAGAACTTGAGCAATTCTTCTCACGAATACGAGACGACCTGCAGGTAATGTTGAAAATGAACAAAGCATGCACTTAAATCCTACTACTGGAAGCCTACTTTTACCCTATGTGCTCCAAAGGTTGATATCGCTCATCTTCAGTAATAGTAACATAACCAATCCTTTGCATTTAACTTTTTATATAGGCTACAAGCTTAACCCAACATAAACGCTGAAAGCGGTATATGTGCTGCTACCTGGGAATTAAGTTTTGAAGTTCGGGAATGATGGCTGAATGGTCTACGATCTTACATTATATCTCTGGTCTAGAGACAGTGACAGTGACTCTGGTCTAGAGTTGAGGGTTCAAATCTTGTTTCAGTGCAACAAAACAGCATTTTCCTGTCTTTGGAGAGGCCCACCTAAAATAAACTTTAGTCAACACCTTGATGATTGTGGCTTACGTCTCAACTCTTCACATTTTGCTGTTAATCATTTTTAAGCTTAATCATTTTTAAGCCGCATTTAGACTAAACCAGTAGGAGGGCAGGTTATCTCCTTCACGTAACTTGAAATACTCAAACCGAGGCAGGTTGCCTGCCTGCCTACTGGCATCGCGTAACCGCTGCTTTAGGTGTGTCTGTTTACTACTTGGTAAAAAAAAATTATTTTTTGTTTTCATAATGGGAGAAAAAATATGGTATGGAAAAAAAATCAATTTATAATTTGTAAGGCTTTTAGTGTTAGCGCCTAAATAATTTATCACAAAACTAAAGACAATGAAAATGTCAGAAACTTTTCCACTGTTTAGGTTATCGTTTGTCTTTTGTGATACTGTACCAGAGAAAATATATGCTAACAATAGAGAGTGTGATTATTTTGTCAAAGTATGAACTCTTAATATTTATTCACTCTCGTGGTATCTTGTACACGAAATGTCATGCCCAATATATATGCCTGTGAATTGTTTAAATAGACACATTTAAGTAAACTAAGCATTGGGAAAACCATTTTCAAGAAAAAATCCACTCAGTATAGCGAATGTTTTCAATATAGTTAGTACACGCAGGATTGATGAGTTAATGTTTGAGATGGTTAGAAGATTGTTCATCAATTGGCCCTCCAATTAGTTCAGATCATTAATTCATTGTTACCTATTAATGATGTTTAAGAATGTGTTTCATAGAATATACTTATACTTAATTTATCTAGTCAACAGTGTACCCTATTAATTCAGATAAAGTAACAAAGGAATAAAGCTCAAACAACACACTAAATTTAACTCTGACACCCTTAGGGCTTAAGAAAATTGGTTAAAGCAAATTAAACAACCTAAATTTTTACCCAAGGAACTAATGGAACAGAAATTTCATCAAATTATTCTTTGCAGTAAATACACCTAGTTTAGAGAACAATAGCTGATAGAACCATAGATAAAACATATTCCCTTAGTAGATTTCTCATCCTAATGGAACAGCTGAAGACAGTTTTATTGTTAGTTCTGTACGGTTTATGTAGAGGTCGTGTTTTGTTTACAATTTGTTTCCCGTTAATACAGTCATTTAAAACCTCGTTTAACCAAATAATACGATCTAATCATAAACAATAAATTGTCCCCTAGTTATTTAACCAAACAGTAAAGCACAAATCAAGAAATTAACCCTAAAATAATATAAACAAAATGTCGTCGACACTAGCGCCCAGTGTGGCGTACTTGAACTAGACATGAAAAACGAGCTTCAAAATTTACAATGGGATGAGAAGTCTACTTGTGTTGGTTAGTCTATGATAGAACGTAGGTAGCCTAAGTACATTGCAATTGTATCATTATCATTACAACTGGAAGCTAAGGGAACATGATTGTACTTACTGTGTGAAACTTAATTTGTGGGAAAATTTATACCTTTTGGAGGTTAGCTGTACATCCGGCTGTCAAATAAACCAAAGATAAACCAGAGGGAATCTACTGTAATCTAGATTAAATCAAATATATATTAATTTTTGTAAAGATCTCACACTGACGGGGTGCACATCTTGATTTTTAGCCATCAGAAATAATTAAATAGATATTTTTTAATTGGAAAGAAAAGTAATAATTGTGTTTACACAAAGAAAAAGGAAAATCATGTTTTGAGATTTCTTATTGAAATTTACAATTGTAATGACACCATAATTTATTGTGGACGACCACTACTTTTAGCAAAATATTTCCTGGAAGTGGTATCCTAGTTTAATGTTTGTGTTTGTTTTGAAGGTTACTCGGCTCACACACTTTGACTATGTGCTTGTGGAGGACCTAGAGAGAGTAGGTATGGGTGCGCCAGCCGCACGCCGTCTGGTAGACATGGTGAAGAAGCGGCGTGCGGCACAGCGACGGCGCAGCCTCCTCACCAAACTGATGCCAGCCAAGGGTGGTACCATGGGCAAACAGCGGAGTGGCTCCAGTGGCACCACAGAGTCTCCTACGGCACTCAGCGCCGTCAGTCTCACATGTCTTATACAGGAGAAGGACGTCAGGTGAGCATCAAAACTTTTTACCAGTAAAAGCTCGGTCCAGTAGAAAATACTTTGTTAGTTAAGATATTATAGAGAATTTAACCTGAAACATGATAAGTTTAGGTCTCAAAGTCAGGAGATAACAAAAAACCTCAGAGAACTGTGTAGTAGTCAAACCCACAAAATAAAAATCTTGAAAGAAATAGTAAAAATAGAGGTCAAATGAAGTTATAGGTACTTTCTCACTTGAATTTCAGATCCTGAAACATCGTAAACACTTACAACATCAAAGAATGTTATGATACTTTCTAAATATTTTGGGTTTTGTTGCACAAACACAATAGCTCCATTTCAAGCAATCTCTGGCACTAAGAATGTCTTTTCTTGTTTTTTAGTAGCCATTTAGTAAACAGGTATGTTACCATCAATCCAGTAGCTGTGTCAAAAGAAAACCAAATTTAATCAATCTTTTAAACACCTTTCTATTGTTTTTATTAACAGCTGATTTAACCAAGGCAATCAGAAAAACACCTGTTTAGTTTTGCACCCAATTTAAACACCTAGTAGGCATATTAATGTCCAACTGGTTTTGTACAGCCTAGGTAACAAGCTGGGTGACGGTTCGTTTGGTGTGGTGAGGAGAGGAGAGTGGAGTAGCCCTACAGGACGGCTGGTGTCTGTGGCAGTCAAGGTACTGAAGGCAGACGCTCTCACACAGCCTGGAGTACTGGAGGACTTTGTAAAGGAGGTGCAGGCGATGCATCAACTAGACCATCCACAACTGATCAGGTCAGTGACAATAGTCTTAGACTTGTAATTTCAAGACAGGCTTTCAGGAGGAGCCAAGTCTCTCTATAGTTTTTATGCTATATTAAACTAATTGTTATAAAATAATTCAATTACCAGCAACTGAATAAGTGCTTTAGTTGTACTTAAGCTAAATTTTCTGTGACTTTTGGAGGGATAATGAGGTGGTTGAATTAAATATAGACCGACTGCAGTGTTGTGGTTTGCATATATTCTGGTGTCCACTGCTAGGAGTGCCGTGTAGTTTTTGCGCACACCGCTGCAGCATCAAGCGCTAGCGAGCGTTGCCATGACAAGTTGGTAGTTGGAGCCAGGGTCGCCAGCTTCTAGATAGATCCCTAAAATCCGGGAAGTAGGATTCAAGATTCAAGATTCAAGATTCAAGATTCTTTATTTCCAATAAAGTACAATAAATAAAAAGTGACATATTTTATATAAAGGAAAAAATATTCCTCACAAGACTACACGTCTGTGTGTGAGGAAGAGTCCATGGCACTCGCTGGTCACTCTTAAAAAATATATACACTTACATAAAACAACTTTTCTAGTTAACAATAATATAACTTATTCATTAAAATTAAAAATAAAATAAAATATCTTAGTCCTGGCCAACATATAACCATCAGAATATAAGTTCTAAACACTCGTTAAGTTAAAGCAAATTAAAAATTAAAAAATTAAAGATACCCCTCAAAATAAAATAAAATATTTCTTACAATTTAAAAACAAAAATCAATCCGGTTTAAAAATTTTGACATAGCCCATGCCTGATATAGCCCAACTTGGCTGATAAGTTGGAGATTTAATAGATTTTTTATTATTTTTTTTTTATTCAAACGTATGGTGAATGAATTAAATTTTCAGCAGCCGTGGGGCCGACGTGTAACAGCCACTCTCCAACTATTCTCGCGAAAACGGCTGCACTGCTACTCTCTGCCTGAATGATATTATTTGGAAGATTTCGGTATAATTGATGTGCAATATAAAATGGATTAGAAAGCTCTATTCTGTAACCTAATCTGGGTATTGTGTATCCAAAGTTTAATCGGTTTCTTGTTATATATGTGTGAGTTGGCTGTGTGAAAATTTTGTGTTTGTTGTCTTTAATGTAGATTAGAAGGGTTTTAATAAATAATTGTCTGATATTAAGTACAGGAAAATCGTGGAATAGCAGATCAGTAGAATATCTTTGTCCTTTTTTTAGAATGGTTTTTATTATAGAGCGCTGTGTCACCCCCAGTGGCTCCAGTACGGCGGAGGAGGCACCACCCCACGCCAGAACCCCGCATTGCATTATAGATTGCACATAGGCGATGTACACACTCCTGCAGTGATCCGGAGTGAGCACGTGGCTCAACTGCCCAAAAGCATAAATCATTTTTCTTAATTTTTGTTTTAAGTACTGTATGTGTGGCACCCATGATAATTTTTGATCTATGACTACACCTAGATATTTATAAGTTAAAACCTTTTCAATGATTTCGCATCCACAGTTGACGGACTCCGGATCGCCACAAGAGTGCATTTTTAGGATCCTCTGTCCTGGACCATAATTATCTCTAAGGATAATTGGCAAACTTTTAGTTTTTTGTACGTTAACAGAAAGTAGATTGTGATCAAACCAGTTTTTTATTTTGATGAGGTCAGAGGATGCCTTATTGTAAACCTCATCCCAGGTGCTTCCGTATGATACCAAAGCCGTGTCGTCAGCAAACAGAAATATGCTTCCATTTATATTTAATTTGGATATGTTGTTAATGTATACCAGAAATAGCAGAGGTCCAAGTGTACTTCCTTGAACCACGCCATAGTCAACAATCGTTGGGTCACAATTTATTCCCTTAATACAAACATATTGTTTACGATTTTTGAAATAGGAAGAAAACCAGTTTAGTGTGTTATTTTTTGCCCCTATTAATTCAAGTTTTTGTAATAATTTTGATCTATTTACAGAATCAAATGCCTTTGCTAAGTCTAGGAAAGTTAAAATGATTTTATTTTTTCCATTGATTTTCTCATTTACTAATTTGGTTAAGTCAAATAAAACATCGGAAGTATTTTTCCCTTTCCTAAATCCATATTGTGATTCAGATAAAATTTTATTTGTTTCAAGATAATTAGTTAATTGGATCTTTACACATTTTTCTAGAATTTTATCTATGGTGGTTAGTAAAGATATTGGTCTAAAATTACTCATTTCAGCTTTGGCACCAGATTTGTAGATAGGGATGACTTTTGCAATTTTGAATAGGTCAGGAAACTCTCCTGAACGGATACTAAGGTTTATCAAATGTAAAAGGGGTTGAACAAGATAATTTGAGAAGGTCTTAACAAGTTTTGCAGGGATGTTATCCCATCCTGGAGCAGAGCATCCTTTTATACTATTAATTATATTTATTAGTTGATCTTGATTGATCGGCTTCAGCTCAAATACAGAATGAAAGGCATGGTGATGATCCTCCACCTCGGGTGGCCCCACTGGATTAATAGCGCTAGCTAGGATGTAGCCTACATTAGCAAAATAGTCATTGAATTGTTGGCTGATATTTTTTATGTCAGGAGTAGCAGTGCTTCCGTCACAGAAGGCCTCCACCGGGAACGGTGCGGGAATGTGTGGTCTACCTGACACCTCTTTGATAGTTGTCCAAAATTTCCTAGCATCTCCGGCTGCTTCCTCGATTTTATTCTTGTAATAATTGAATTTGGTGCGTTTAATTAGTGAATGCAGCATGTTGCGATATTGGTTATATCTATTTTTTAATTGCCTGTTGTATGGATTCTTTTTTACTGTATTAAAGAGCATATCCCGTTTCCTTATTGATGTCAGCAATCCTGCCGTAATCCAAGGTTTAAGTTTTCTACTTTTTGCGTTTACTTTGACTTCCTTGGATGCATCATGAATAATAGTTTGGATAGTATCAATTAGATTAGAAGTACAGGTATTAATTTCTCTACAATTGGTAATATTCTGCCAATCAGATTCTTTTAGTTTTTCATCAATTTTATTCCAATCAATTTTTATTTTAAATGAATCTTTCGAGATTGGATGTTGTTTACTAGGTTTAGAAATTTCTAGAACAATAGGATAGTGGTCCGTTATATTAGTTTCAATAACCGCGGGATATGCTGAATGAAATGATTTTAATTTCAAAAAGAAGTGGTCAAGACATGCGTTACTTTCAGGGCGAGTTACTTTGTCAATGCATTGTATTAAATCAAAATCACTAAGGATGTCAACATATTTTTCTTCAGCTGAGTTAAGTGATGGGTTTAAAATATTGAAATTTATATCACCAGAGAAAATACGAACATACTCTGAATGGGAAGTGGAATTATAATAGTTATAAACACCATCAAGAAACAATTGAAGGCTAGAATTAGGGCTCCTGTAAACGGCTAGTAATTCACAAGGTTGACCGTCCCAGTCGAAGGTCAGAGATAAGGCAGTGGCCACGCCGCCGATCAACAGCTGATTACAGGTTGCAGATAAAGAGTTATCTAGATATACAACTACACCATCGCTTTGATTAAGATTGTTGCTTGAACTAAAAATATTGTAACCCGGAATACTTTCTAAAATAGAATCTGTTTTTAACCATGCCTCTGTTAGTACTATGCAATTAAAATGGGTTTTTATTCCTTGGAGAAACGCACAAAATTCGTCAAAATTTGTATTGTAGCTCCTTATATTCTGATGGATTATTCTAAACCTTGACCCGAAATTACTTTGAGATAAATCAAAACAAGAATTAAGAGTACTTATATCGGAGTAAACATTACATTCTTTAATTGGAAATTCGTTATAATCTTCCTCGTTTAACATGTCCATACCCGGTCCCTATCGCAAAACCATCCAGCCTAATTAATTTAACAGATCCAAAGTCGTGTTTCTTTATGTTTATTACGAACCTAAATATTAATTATTCATATAGGAATGTTCTGCTATAAATACACTCATTTACACACATATTTAATTAAAATAAATCCTACAATGCCAAGGAGATTGGAAAATCACAAAAAATAAGATTTCCGATAATTATGATTTTATCTTAGTCTTATCTAAAGACACATCCTTACCACATTCCTTTCATCAAGGTAAAATTACTACTAAAATGAAACTATAAAATGAAAATATACGCCAACATTTTTTTAACAAGGTGAGGAGTTTGTCCCGTTATTTTTCTGCGTTTTATAAATTTCTGGGGATTTTTTGAAAGAAATGGGCTTTTCTGTTTAAGTCATGGGATTTCAGAATCTTGTACTTTGCCCATATTAAAAAGTGGGTCTGATACGTTGGTAGCTTTTCGTTTGCAAACGTGGTAGTGCTGGTAGTAGACAGTGAATCAACGATGGTACGGTAGTGAATCAACGATGGTACGGTAGTGAATCGACGAACACTGAGCACGCTCTAGCGGCACATCATGGAGCCCTCCTTCGACAGTCTACATTTACTCTATTTGTCTATGGTATTATGCAGTCATAAGCTTCTAGCCAAATTGAAGTTTAAGAACCTCAGATAGTATCGGTCAATGACTCATTTATATTTATAGTGTAAGATCACAAGGAATATCAAGAGTCAACTGTTGTATATTTTCAGAGTTACAGTCCATAGGAGACATCATGCCAGGATTTCTCTCTCTAGAGAAAACTTTTATGAAATCATGAACTGTTTTAAAGAAAAAATTATAAATACCACTTATTTAATGCAAATGCTGTATCTAGCTCAAATTCTATGGAAAGGGGAATAGAAGGGGGGGGGGGGTAGGAGGTAGGACTCTAAAAAGCCCTTTATTGTACAGAATATTAGTGTAATGTTTGTCAGTATTACTGTGTATCTATAAGCCCTGGACTCTATCCCTCTTCAAAATGATTCCTAGTCAATCAGCCATTTGGCTTTTGATTCTCCCTATATCAATATCAATTATTTAAGACGGGGACGCCACTATGTGCGTATTTTAACCCAATGAGTGGTTAGTGTACTTAGAAATCAAACCATAATTCCATCAGCACTATGTTATTAATTTGAGTTTTACACAAGTTTAACTAATGAATTCTCTATTTGCAGGCTGTACGGTGTAGTGCTGACTCAACCCATGATGATGGTGACAGAGTTGGCAACACTGGGCTCTGTACTGGAGTACATGCGTAAACAGAGTGGCCACATTCCCATCACTCAGCTGTGGGACTATGGACTGCAGGTGGCTACTGGTATGGCCTACCTGGAGACTAAGAGGTTTATACATCGGGACCTCGCCTGTAGGAATGTACTGCTGGCCTCTGTTGATAAGGTGAGGTTAGGTTAGGTTAGATCATACAGGTACTTGTTACACGCAGTAGAAATGTTCTGGCATAGTGCTGTACAAAGCAAAACCACGTAAAGCAAGGACTATTTATTAGTCGGAGTTGAAAATCAATTTCTCACTGCTAATGGAAGTTAAGTTAACAGTTTAAACAAAGTTATTTTATTTTTGACTGAATACAGAATTGTAAGTAATTACACTATAAGGAAAATTATATCTAGCTTTCACTCACACTAGCTCAGCTGTATAGTAGTATGAATAATCTGTTCACAGCTGTTTTTGGACGTCCCTTAAAAATGCTTTTGCAGATCTTAATTTTATTGTGAATTGCTTATGTATGGAAATCCACACAAAAGCAATCCGTATCATGTTAAATCTAAAATTTAAAGAATCTGCTAAAGAACACTTAAAAGAAATACAAATTATGATGGTTTTTAGGTTATACATTTATCAATCAGCTAACTTCATATTAAATAAAATTTTAAAAGATTGCCAATATTCAACTCTTTTTATGAAAGTATTCAACTAGAAAAGATTATGTTATGAATCAGTGTAAAACAGACATAATTTATCACTTTACGAGAAAATCTCATTTTGTAGTACTAAGGCTTGTGCCTTATATAAATATACTAACACAAAATAAATTAATTAAAAGAAGAGATTATAACATTGAAACAGTTTTGTATTAAGAAAGAACTACAATAATATCAAATATAAAGTTTACAAACAGACAGCTGATCATATGATAATTTTAACATTCAAAGTATAGTTGAGACAGTAATTAGCAGATTCAAATTAATGGCAAAACAATGTAGCCACATACTCCCCTCCCAGTGTCAACGAGGAACGTAACGATGCGGGGGATGAACACTACGACCTGATCTGGTAAAAATCAGTGTTTTTTTAAGGTCAACATCTTCATTTCTGTCTTTGGTCTTGTCTACTTGAGTTTCTCTAGATTGCATGTCATTTTTTTTTACGTTAATGGTCGTATCATTCATAGAACCTTGAAGGAGGAATGCCGGTTTGAGTCGGTCAATAGAAATCGACGTAGGTCCTCGTGGAGTAAGAATAGTAAACCACTTGTCAGATCGCGAAACCACTTGGTAAGGGCCATCATAGACAGCTTGCAACGGTCTTCGGGATGAATCATGACGAACAAAAACATGGTTGGATGTTCTTAGTTCTGGATGAACAAAGACCTTCTTAGAAGAATGGTATTTGGCTTCTATTGGTTTGAGATCATTCATTTTTCTTTTCAGATTGTACACTAAATCAGGAACATTTGTTGAGGTATCTTCTGTGGTTTGAAAAAGATCGCATGGCAGTCTGATGGACTGACCTAGTGTCATTTCTGCAGCAGTAACATTGTGTTCTGGAATAATATAAGATCTTAGTCCCAGTAGAACCATTGGTAACGTCTGTGTCCAGTTAGATGTGAGTTGAGCTGTTAATGCAGATTTCAGATGTCGGTGCCATCTCTCGATCTTTCCATTAGCTTCAGGGTGATACGCAGTAGTTTTAATGTGATGGATACCGAGATGTTTTGTTAATTCCTGAAATAAATTGCAGTCGAATTGTCTTCCTCTATCTGTAGTAATGTTTTGAGGAACTCCAAATCTAGCAATCCAGGTTGAAAGAAGTGCTTCTGCAACTGTTCCAGCAGTAATATCCTTGATAGGCGTTGCCTCGACCCATCGTGTAAAGCGGTCTATGATAGTTAGCAAGTACGTAAATCCTTGAGAAGGTGGCAAGGGTCCAACTATGTCCACATTAATGTGAGAAAAACGTCCATTAATGTTGTTGTAAGCTCCAATCTCAGAAGTAGTATGTTTCCAAACCTTTGATTTCTGGCAAGCTACACATGCTTTGGCCCAAAGTCTGACATCTTTATTCATGGAAGGCCAAACAAAACGTTGTTTAATAAGGTCCAGAGATCCTTTGATTCCAGGATGTGCCAGGTTGTGAAGGGAGTCAAATAACTGCTTTCTGAACTGCTGAGGAATAAATGGTCGTAGCCTTCCAGTACTTGTGTCACAACACAGCTCTGAGCCATTAGGAAGTAAAATATTTTTTAATATCAAAGAAGTTGTGTTTGAGTACTTCAGGTTTTTAAGTTCAGCATCTTGAGATTGAGTTTCAGAAATTTGTTCAAATGATATGGATGAAGGTAGGTTAATAGCACTTATTCTTGACATGAAATCAGCAGGAATGTTTTGTTTTCCTGGAAGATACCTTATGTCAGTAGTGAACTGTCCAATGAAGTCTAGATGACGCAATTGCCTTGGACTAGATGTATCAGAGGGTTTATTGAAGGCAAAAGATAGAGGTTTGTGATCTGTATATATAACAAAACTTCGCCCTTCAAGGAGATAACGGAAGTGCTTCACAGATAGGTATGCAGCCAGGAGTTCCCTGTCATAGGTACTGTATTTTTGTTGAGTTGTTGTAAGGGATTTAGAGAAAAACCCAAGAGGTTCAAAGTTTCCATTACAAATCTGGTGGAGAGACGAACCTATAGCGAAGTTTGATGCATCGACCATGAGAGCTAAAGGAGCATCAGGAGATGGGTGTGCTAGAAGTGTGGCATTGACTAGCTGGCCCTTTGCATCCTCAAAAGCTTTCTTAGATTCTGATGTCCAAATTATTTTTCGTTTATCAGATTTATGTGTACCCTTACACAAATCAAATAGTTTTTGCTGAATAGCAGCTGCGTTAGGAAGTGAACTTCTGTAAAAGTTTATAAGTCCAAGGAATCTACGAAGCTCAAGAATGGTTTCAGGAAGTTTGCAACTAACAATAGCTTCAACTTTATCAGGAAGAGGAGAAATTCCTTGTTTCGAAACTGTGTAACCAAGAAAAGAGATCTCAGTCACGCCAAATACGCTCTTTGACGTATTAATATTAATGTAATGCTTATTAAGTCTATCAAAAACAGTTTGCAAGTGATTAATATGTTCATCTTCTGAGGAGGATGCTACTAGAATATCATCTAAGTAACAAAAGGTAAACTCTAGATCATGCAAAAGAGAATTAATATATCTCTGGAAAGTTTGTGCAGCATTCCTTAATCCAAATGGCATTTTTAGAAATTCAAATAATCCAAAAGGCGTTATGACAGCAGTTTTTGGAATGTCATCAGGAGCTACTGGAATGTGATGAAAAGCCCGAACAAGATCAATTTTGGAAAATATAGTTTTTCCATTTAACTGGCTGTTAAAATCATGCAAATAAGGTATAGGATATCTATCAGGAACTGTTTTTGCATTTAGGGCACGGTAATCCCCGCAAGGTCTCCATGTACCATCAGTTTTAGGAACTAAATGAAGTGGACTGGACCAACAGCTTTTTGAAGGTCTGCAAATGCCTAACTCAACCATCTTGTGAAACTCATTTTTAGCTACCGCAAGTTTTTCTGGAGATAAACGTCTAGCTCTAAAGTTCACAGGCTGACCTGTTGTCTGAATTGAGTGAAAAACTGTGTCCTGTGAAACTTGAAAATTAGGATTTTCTTTCAGTAAATTAGGATATTGGTTGATAAGTTTTGAGTATTTACCTTTTGGGTCAAGAACCAATACAGATTGTTGATTTGAAAGTTTTTGAATTCCAATAACAGATAATTGAGTCCTGTTATCGATTAGTCTTTTATTTTTGATATCAACAAGTAAACCATAATGTGATAAAAAGTCTGCGCCAATTATGGGTTGGGTTACATCTGCAACTATGAAAGACCAGACAAACTTTCTTTTCAAGCCTAGATCAAGTTTTATGTCTTGTTTACCGTACGTTTTGATAACAGAACCGTTGGCAGCATATAATTGTCTATTACTTACAGCACATTTGTCTTTGTTTGTGAGAGGCAAAACAGATATGTCTGCTCCAGAATCCACGAGAAACTTACGACCACAGGGTAAGTTAGTTACAAATAAGCGGCGAGATTGAAAGCCCCTGTCATCCTGAGCCGCATTTAGTGACGGGGCAGGAAGTTTTCCTGTTGTGCATTCTTTTTTGGTGTGAACAAACAAGGTTGAACACATTTTTTAGCATTTTCACCAAATTTGTTATGATACCAGCAAATTTCACCTTGATCATTTCTCTCTTTAGGATAGTAGTTGTTCTTATGTTTGACTGGGAAGTTGCGTTTACTTAACTTAAGAAGTCCATCAATAGACTGAGTTAGTTCGCTGACTTGTTTTTCTAAGTTGGCAATCCGATCACTAGATTGCGCAACATCTCCTTGAGCACAAACGTAGTTGTCGACAGCTGATAGTTCAGCTATTTGGTCACCTAATTTGGCTAAGTCATCAAGAGAATTGGTTTGAGAAGCAGCTAGAGCAGTACGAATGTGACTAGGTAGACGTTGTAGAAAAATAACTTTCAAAAAACTGTCAGTTAGCTGTGTACCTGCTAAGGTTCTCATTTCACGAAGAAGAGTTGTCGGCTTCTTATCTCCGAGAAAAACTTCTGTTGTCAGTTGTTTTAGTTTGGCATTTTCTGAAATTTCGTATTCTGAGCAGAGCCTTTCTTTTAAGTCAGAGTAGGGAGTTTGAGACAAAGGTTTGGTAATAAAATCTGAAAGGTGGCTTGCAACTTCATTGTCCAGTGAGCTCATTACATAATTGTATTTAGTTCTTTCCTTTGAAATTCCATGAAGAGAAAACTGACATTCAATTTGATGAAACCAAAGTGAAACATTTTTTGTCCAAAATGGTGGAATTTTCACTTGAATTGGTGAGATTTGTGAAGCCTCTGGTGTACTAGGAGTTGGAGTAGATTCTTGATTATTCATTACGGTCCAATTGAATTAATGACAGTAAAAAGTACAGTAAGGGGTCACCAAATAAGGCTTGTGCCTTATATAAATATACTAACACAAAATAAATTAATTAAAAGAAGAGATTATAACATTGAAACAGTTTTGTATTAAGAAAGAACTACAATAATATCAAATATAAAGTTTACAAACAGACAGCTGATCATATGATAATTTTAACATTCAAAGTATAGTTGAGACAGTAATTAGCAGATTCAAATTAATGGCAAAACAATGTAGCCACAGTACCTACCATTAAATAAATACAAAAAAAGCTTACCTAAAAATTAAAAATATTATTATTTCCAACTTTTTGAAATTTTATCCTTAAGTCTTTAAGTTTTATATGGTAATTTAGCTCACAACATTATTAGCATATGTGTGATTTGAATAAAGTTACTGTATTGTGATTGATTGATATGCAAAATTGTGCACAACTGGATCACCTGTAGACTGATACTGTATTGCACAACGCCAACACACTAAGCTTTTAAGTCGAAGACGAGAGAAAAATTCTAAAATAATTAAAAGATTGCCTTGTTATTGAATAAGATCAACATGTACGTACATTTATTGAAACACAAATGGATCAAGGATAATATATGGGTATAAAAAGTGCTCCCAACGTTTATCAAATTTAAAAGTAGGCTATACAGTCTAACCTTGATATAACGAACCTCGATATAACGAATTCCTTGATATAACGAATTTTTTTTAATCCCCTAGAACTCTCCATTAGACACAATGTATATTTTACCTCTACATAACGAACAATCCATAACAACGACCTTGATTTAACGAATTTTTCGTGATTTTGGCTAAAATAAGACACCTCAATATAACGAATTTATCATTGTCAGAACCTCTACATTGCGAATTTAACCTCTGCATAACGAATTGTCTACGTCTTTCCCTCGATATAACAAATCCCCTACCCAATTATTGTTTTGGGAAAATCTGTTTCTTTATCAAATGAAATGAAAGGTTACGCCATCGCATTCGTCTGCTCCGTTTTACATCTTTGTCTGCTGTCGCTGTGCGCGCTATGTTGCAACTGAGAACTGAACTGATTTCATTCACTGAGGACTGATGACGACGTAATGTTTAGTAAGCTGTGATTGGGCGATATGGGATAGCTATGGTGAATTGTACAATTTTTGGATAAAGAGAAAACTAAGAAAGAATAAAAAACAAAACCAAAGAGAAAGAATAGCAACATCGTTATCTTAACATTCCTTTTACGAGTGTTTTTACTATCCTTAAGTTGGCTATGATTATACACTTTTATAATGACTTATCTAATAATTTATTGTTTTCAATACGATTTGTTTCAACTAGCAACACCAATGCTATAGTTAATGATTATTTATTGACATTCCTCTGTTGTGATAAATCAGTACTGTACTGTAAGTAGCCTACCGGCCTATCGCGAGCAGTAGCTTACAAAACTTTCTACTGATTTGTTTTGTTCTTTACATGGTTTATGACTACGAAATACAGTGTTTGGCTAGGTTTTAGGAGGGTTAGAACAAGCTTTGATTTTAAACTTACAGTTACAGTTTTTAACCTGTACCAAGGTCAATGCCATTGTCATGATTGCGCAATATTCAAGATCCCTCCCTTTTATTTTGCCGGATAATTTAGGTTCTACTGTACAATGTAAACACTGTACTGTAAAGTGTTGTAGCTTAATTGTATTTTAATGAGGTCAAATCTCGACCTATATTGACCGACGCTGGTTCTGAACCTCGACTTAGCGAAATTCCTGCAAACCTAACCTCTATATAACGAACCTCGTTTTAACAAAATCCTTGATATAACGAATATTCAGTTCGGTCCCTTCAGATTCGTTATACTGAGGTTGGACTGTATTACCTTTGTCAATCCAGCTCAAATGGTGTAACTGTGTTGGTTACAGCTGTTTCGGCATTACAATGTCATCGTCAGACACAACATCTCGGCAGATGTAGCCTCGTTGGAGTAAAAACACGTAACACACACAAACAATACGAATTAAATTTACAAAAACGAATAGGCCTATCGTACAAACTGTACTGATTGACATTTTCCCTTTCCGAGCAAGACGCCGACTCAAGAGGCTTAAAACATGGATTTTATTTTTTCAAATTGGAACCCGGCAATCTAAATATTTACAAAGAGAGCACTTTGGCTCCTCGGCTATCCATCTAACTACAAAGAAGGTCATCCAGTTGGGCCAAGATTTATTTAATGTTAGTCAGAAAAAAGTTGATTTCATTAAACAAGAATAATTCTTTACTATTCTTCTTGTTTAGCTGAAGATTGGAGACTTTGGGCTGATGAGGGCTCTGCCGCAAGCCGAGGACTGTTACGTCATGACAGAACATAGCAAGGTAGTGTATACAGGGTGTTGAAAATGTCTGGAACCAACATTATATCTGGTGATTGGTTAAAGAAAAACGACTGATATTTTGTATACGGATATACTATGGTTTTACCTATCTTTTGGTGCCTTATGAAATTTTTTACCACTTATAGGGAACGTCCCGTAGAGGATGCAGTAAAAAGTTTTAATGGAAGCCTATGGTAAATGATACATCATTTTAAAGGCCATTTTTTTCTGAGTAAGGAGCCACAAGTTCCATCTCAAAAGGACCACCCTAGCAAAAATGGCAACTGTTTGAAATTTAAAAACCCACTTATAGGGAACGTCCTGTGGAGGATGCAGTAAAAAGTTTTAATGGAAGCCTATGGTAAATGATACATCATTTTAAAGGCCATTTTTTTCTGAGTAAGGAGCCACAAGTTTCATCTCAAAAGGACCACCCTAGCAAAAATGGCGACTGTTTGAAATTTAAAATTCAATTATTTTCAAAAACTTCAAACAGTCACCATTTTCGCTAGGGTGGTCCTTTTGAGATGAAACTTGTGGCTCCGTACTCAGAAAAAAATGGCCTTTAAAACGATGTATCATTTACCATAGGCTTCCATTAAAACTTTTTACTGCATCCTCCACAGGACGTTCCCTATAAGTGGTAAAAAATGTCATAAGGCACCAAAAGATAGGTAAAACCATAGTATATCCGTATACAAAATATCAGTTGTTTTTCTTTAACCACTCACCAGATATAATGCTGGTTCCAGACATTTTCAACACCCTGTATACTTTAACAACTAGACAGATTACTTTGATTTTACTTAACAATGACTCGCTCATGATTTAATTGTTTAAGATATCGTGGCTTGCAAGATGAAATGGTATAAGTACGTAGCTTACTTTATCTTGCAAGCGTCGATATAATTGTGTCAACATGTAAATGTATGTCTAGTTATTAGGTTATAATTTCTTTGGATAATTTAATTTTAAACTATCAACAGTAACACACCAGAGAAGAGAGATGATAAATCCCATGTATTTTTCATTAGTGTTATAATGTTTTTGTAATTTTGTTATGTTTATTGTTTTGATGCTCATTCTTTAAATTTAACATTGTAAATATAATGGAAATGGAGTCTACTACGTATTTGGATACTAACAAGGTCATAATTTACAAACTGTATAGCCTACCAACAAGGAAGTGGTGAATCTGTGTAATACAGAAGGTACTATACTATAATCTATAAACCCAAGGCAGCCGTGTTAGTCACCTGGTGCTTCACCAATATTTATCAATATCGTTCAATCTTCTGCTGTACCACTTCTTGCTTTGGTTGATTTGTTTGTGACGGGCAAATGAAAGGTTAAATAAAAATTTCAAACTCTTAAAAAGGGATAAAAAAGTTACTTTACACTTTCCTAAATTGATGATGAGTTTTGAGGAACTTCTATTTATTGCCAAACTACTTTGTCTTTGTGTGGGTTTGCAGGTGCCATTCCCGTGGTGTGCGCCAGAGTCTCTCAAGGCCAGAATGTTCAGCCACGCCAGTGACGTGTGGATGTTTGGAGTCACTCTGTGGGAGATGTTCACATTCGGCCAGGAGCCGTGGCTGGGCCTCAACGGAATGCAGATCCTTCGCAAGATAGACCGAGAGGGAGAGCGACTTCAACAACCTGAGGCTTGCTCCCCAGAGTTCTACAAACTTATGATGCAGGTCAGTTAATGTCGGATATAATTTACCAAGCTGTTTAACGATTTAACACATCAAGCAGTATGCTGCAGTTTATGAAAAGTCTTATTAATAATTGTCATTAACTATTGCCTAATATTACCAAAGTCTTTTGAAATCCACTTTCCACAAAAAAAATAAAGCTATTTGTGGGAGTGCCGGTGGGTCAGAGCCCATTGCAAGGCGCTTGCGTATAGGGGTTTTCTATTAGAAGGTTTCTGTATTGGAGATTTCCCTTCATAAAAATTCTCATGTTTAACAAATTATTCTAATTTTATGGATGACACTACTTTCAGGATGATTCATCACCCTCTCTTACATTACCAGCAGGTAAAAAAGAAAAAACTTTTAAAATGTGTCTGATGTTGAAATATTCTTTTTCAATACGTCTTATCAATTCTCAATTTAAATCCAGATCCACCCAAGAATTTTAACCGTGTTTTTATCTGCAGTGTTGGAGCAAGAACCCTGCAGAACGACCCACATTCTCCGCCATCTTGCAGCTTCTGCGCCGCAGTGCCCCGCCTGTCATGAAGGCACTGCAGAGACTAGCTGAGCCCGAGAAACTAGCGGTGGAGCCTGGGGACAGCATCATCATTGTAGACGGCAGCCCGGAGTTGTACTGGTGGCTGGGACAGAACCTACGCACCTTTGAGATCGGACGATTCCCCAGGTCAGTGACATTGACGGGCATTTAAGCTAGAGCATAGAAATAGTGAAAAAACATTACATTTTGTATGGTTACATGAAAGAAAACTAAAATGGCTAGAAGGATTCCAGTTTTGACAAAGTAAATATAGTTTGATTTTAGTATGTTAACATTGAAGTTTTTGTTCACACAATAGTTTCATTAACCCAATAGCCTTGAGTCTTTTTTTTAGAACCTATTCTACGAAGTCGCCCACTGCCACTCACACGAACTGCCATGGATCTAGTACACTAACCCACACAGTCTACCTAGGTCAGCTCAACCAGTTGTTTTACCACAGACACTGTGGTTAATCCACAAAGCGGAAACACTGCCTGTGGATTGTCAATAGATTAGGCTTACAGTAGATGGCAATCAATGTTCAGTTTAAACATACCCAGCAAATTAAGAGGATTATCATAAGAAATAAATAGAAATTTTCTGTAATCTTAGATTTCTTTTCAAATTAGAATCTTATTGGTTATCAGAAAGCATTGGCAGTACAGTAGTTCTTACTTAAGATACACAACTAGAAGGAAAACAATCTTCCAGTAAAAAGTTTGGTTTACTATTTATTTATTTCTGAAATAGTTGGAAGCTATTTAAAAATATCACTGTGGTGTGTTAAAAAACGTTCTAGTTGTGTATCTTTGACCCTCTAAAGCTAGATAAACCACCCACTACAAACATATGGAACATGAAGTTTATAAAAATTAAAGTTATGAAAGTCGTTATGAGTCGTGATTTGCAGGTGTCTTGTAGACCCGATGAGACCCAAGGACCCTACAGATATCAGCAAGCCACTGACCAACTCCTTCATTCACACTGGACATGGAGATCCATGGGGTCCCTCGTGGGGTAGTCCGTCAGCCATAGACGAGGTCTACCTTCGTAACCCAATGGATCCACCCGATGTTCTGGGTATACCTAACGGCAACGCTCCGAACGTGTTGTCTCCGCTCGCTCAGCCGAAGAACAAACGTGAGTGTGTTAATGTATCATCTAGATTTGCTGTAGAGGTGTAGGGGATCAGTGGTAAACTGGTTGTACAAGAGGGAGAGCTGTATTAGTCATGTAACTGGCTATCAGCTATGGTAAACTTTTTTTGTAAAGATAAGATATTGTGTTTAGCTAGCTTACCTGAGAATATCTGAAACCAGGGGATTATAGATACACAATGGTTATAAACATAACACTTCTTTATCATCATCCTAGTGTGTGATTTATTTGAAGGGTAAATTGACAAGGAACATCTGATGAGAAATTTTTTTAGTTAAGTCTTAAGGAGTAAGGGGAGTGGGCATTTCTCACTCACCAATCTCCCCAAAGGAGTTATACTTTAGAAATACTAGTGTTATATTATGAGACCTTTTATTTCTAGAGATAATCCCACTAACCCACGGAGTTAACATAACATAACATTTATTTCTCCTGAACTTGTTTAAGGATTCTCAGAATTAATTAATGAGAAACGTTCTCTCATCCTTTGAAATTTCAGATATTCCTACTTTAAAGCAGATATTTCTTATCAGTTTAAGCTGAATAAATTCTACTCTGGGTTGATATTTTACCGTTGTCTTATGCTACCTTCATATGTCTTATGTTATTGTGTATCTACAACTCCATGACCCACTTTTAATTCAAAAGTTTATCTTGGTAAATCAAAGTCTAAGACTGTTTTTGTAAACTTTGGAAACATTTAAATCAATTTGTTGTACAAAAAATAATTCTTGTATTTTTTAGGTAAAAAAATATTCTAAACTTCTACACCAGTTTAATTTTGTAGGCCTATAAATGATATTCTTCTCTGTATAATCCCAAGTTTCCCCAAATTTACAGATTCTGTCCCATTCAAAAGTTTCCTGGGTCAGTAATCATTAAAAGGTAAACTAGATAAACTTTTTTGATGGTTTAAAACGGACCCAGCTGTCCTTGATCATCAGGGATTGAATAAGTTGAATAAAATGGTCCTGGCTAAAGACACGGAATCTAGGGATGGACGGGTCCCGAAATTTTGGGAAATTTTCGGGATTACATTTGATTCGGGAATTTTTCTGGACGGGATTTGGTCCGATCGTCGGTGATTTTGCCGCTTCGCGAGTCATACCGACGATTAACCCGTGATCGCGAGTCATACCGACGGTTACCCCGTGATCGAGAGTCATACCGACGATCACGCCGTGCCCGCGGGCAGTTATAACGACGATCGCGCCGTGACCGCGAGTCATACCGACCATCACCCCGTGACCGCGGATTCATACCGACGATCACGCCGGTACTGTGAGTCATACCGACGATCATGCCGTGACCTCGAGTCATACCGACAATTACCCCGTGATCACGGTCATTTTTACGATCGCACCGGGACCGCGAGTCACAAGTTTCTATAGGTACTTGTAGATTGTTGTAACCAAATTTTTTTTGTTTTACAGATCAGTGCCACAAATGGTAAAAATTGATTTCTTTTGTCTTCTTTGGTAACTGAAATACTCAATACTTTCTTTTTATGCACAGGAAAAAATCCCGTCCCGTCCCGAAAATCGGGAAGGAAATAAAAATCCCGTCCCGTCCCGTCCCGAACTAAAAATTCAATCCCGTCCATCCCTAACGGAATCAGAATCAGAATACTTTATTCTTGAACATAGAGTACAGAATAGGCATCTAGACAAGGCATCTCACTTTATTCTGCATTTAACCTTCACACATTTGGATTGTAAATTGTATCCAAATGTTAATTGGTAATGATATTTCAGACGAACTAGAGAGAGTGAGGGAGATATGGGAAGTGAGGGTTAGACGACTGCTGGAACAGTTTCCTCAAATGGAACTGCCTCGGTGGCTCTCTCATCTGTTGGCCGAGTATCCGGCTCTGTGTAACCGGGACGGTCAGTCCAGCACGCTTACGAGCACACTAACAATAGTGCAGCTGTGTTGTGTGTAGTAACAAGTTCTTTCACGGAAAGTTAGTGAATCTCATTCATTCGTGTGATTGTTAAAATAGATGTTTGGCTTCTTTGTGTACTTTGAAATAATTTGAGCCCAGCTAATCCAGTTGATTTGTGTACTCAAAACGGGAGTAAAGTTATTCACTTTAAATTTATGGTCGGCAAAGGAAAATAAACAATTTTACAAATTTTTAAGGTGTGTTAAAGGGTACTAGAATTTGAGGTGGATTTATTACGTTTGATTGTTGATCCAGTATGCTGAACGAGTCCATCATAAATCCACATCTTAATGCCTCATAAATTTAACTGTATGGTAAAAATCTGCCTAATTTCAATTGGCACTAATACAGAGTCACAATTAGCGGAACTCTTCTTCTCATCTAATGTAATAAAAAAGCTCACCAAATTTGTGATCTAACATTAAACAATGTGTTGCTAACATTTAGGTGAACTATAGTGTCCTTATCGGCCAGCATTCAAGGTTGCAGTGACTAACATTCTTGTGTTTTGGAAGAAGAATGCTCTTTTTCATCTATCATCATCAAATGCTCTTTAATCCAGCATTGGGAGATGCTGTGACTAACACATCTTTGTGTGTTTGAAAGATGAATGCTGTTCTTGAGCAATCGCCATCATAAAATTTAGTGTCAAGGGTATAGTGGCTGTTTCATCCAGCATCGACAGTAGCTTTTGATTGTTGCAATGACTAACACCGTGTGTTTTGGAAAAAGAATGCTGTTTGTATCTATCATCATCATTCATTATAATGGATTTTTCTTTTCAGCACATTGATCATTTAGTAGTTCATCCCAGTGTGTGTTTCATTGTGGTTGACTGTTATCACTTCAGATGACTTGTCATAGATTAGAAAGTTAGTTTGGATTGGATATTGTGATAATGGGATAGTAGTAATTTTCTTCCGTGCTACTAACAACTATTCTATAGCTAGGGTTTCCAAGATCACGCTAGCGTGATCTGTCCGGTGTGATGTCCGTTGACACAAATTTTTGTCCGCCGGATGTCCGATCAAGCCAGGCGTGAGATTGGTTTACAAGAAAGCGGACATTCGCGGTTATTTCTCTTGGGAAATGGATTCTCTTGGGAAGCTAGTGTCAACAATGACAAAAAATTTCATATAAATGAGACATTTACAAACAAACTAAATGTATACTATATCGTCAAAACTGTTTGAAATAACATCGGAGTTATTAAAACAACTTTATAGTCCTTAAAATAAGTCAAATAACTACCAAACATAGCTCAACCATCTGGTTCTAGAAACAAAGAGAACCATGAAAATAGTTTTGGTTAAAATAAAAAACAAACCATTTGTTCAAAGCATAGGGTTCTATTAGAATACCACCGAAAAGAATAAAATCAATATAGGATGATAGTTACAGTTTTATTAAATAGATTTTACTTTTATTGCAATCATACCGATATAAACTAAGCGTGATTTTTACATTTTTACAAGAATCCTCACAGAGTCCTATACACTTATCCGCTCGGCGTGCACGCCAGAAATGACTTGGGTCATTTTCAGCGTGCCACGCTCTGGACTCACGCCGGACAGATGGCGGGAAAAGTCATGTCCGGCGTGATCGCTCGCGCTTGGAAACCTCACCCATATAAAACATTTAAACTTGATTACGTAATCACGCTTGTCCACTCACGCTGTCCGCCCGGCATGATCTTGGAAACCCTAGCTTATATCATACACAGCTTTGCCATAGCAGTGCTAGAACCTGATGCATTTAGTGTGATGACAGCATCATATCTAAAATGTACCATGTTAAATTGAATTGTAAGTAATTAAAAGAAGCAATTGACTTAAATCAAACCAATTGATAATCCCGTCCGTCTTTGACATTAATCATTTGGTATCTAATACAAATGATTAGGTGAGGCAGTGAAACGGGACGATTCTGACTCCAGCTGTCCGGGGGTGGGGCAGTTAAGAAAATACAAGGGAAAGAAATACTTAGAAAGTCTAGACAAGTGGAAATTTCAGTAGCTATGAAGTGTTGGAAGAGTGCATAATGTGCATTTGCCGTAAAGGCTTATCACAAAAACATGGACAGTGAGGTTTGTGCTCAGCGCGCTTTCTGTCATGAGTTCAGACTACCGCCATAAGCTCCTGTACAATCAAGGAAAGCTATCCTCCGTTGGATGAATAACTTGAAGCCACCGCAAGCATGACAGAGCGCTACAAAACAACATGTGTGCATTTCATCTCAGATTTAAACAACGTGTGCAAAATCAAAGACACCACCTAACTGTTACTGTTGTATTAAAAAAATAACCATTTTTAAGCTATAGAAATAATTCCACTCATATACTTGATTAGGATACAATATATCCTAATCTTTAGTATGAGTGGAGTTATTTGTTTTAACATAAAACAATTTACCTTTTTTTCTAAATAAATTATAGTTTTTTTCAAAGTCATGCCGTTTTACTGCCTCACCTTGCATTCAGTTGCACCTTATATCTCATGACTACATAGAAAAGCTATACCAGCTGTTGCTACTCTTCGTTTAGACGAATAGGCTGAGGAACTTAATGGCTTTAAAAGATCCAATTTTATCAAGTTTGTATCCATTTCTCAGGCCCTCCATACGCCTTCCCGTGCATTCCATATCTCCTCCCCGTTTACCACTTTCCTTTTAATTGTTTTTGGATGTCAAAATTCAATCATCCTATTATTCCTACTTGTTATGTAATATGATTCCTTTTGTACTGTCAAATATTTATTCAGCTGTTTTATTTAAGACTGTTTATATGTAATGTTTACAGTTTTGTGCAATTCTCTCATGTAAAATGTAGCTGACTATTAAGTTGAATAAAACCATATAAATTTGGTTTCTAAACATTTCTTTTCATAACAATTTATTCAACTTAATCTTTAAACTATATTATTACAAGTTCTTCTATACAAGTTGTATTCTATCTTTTCTATTCAAGTTTATTCCAAGAAATCTAAATGGATAAATTCTTCAAGCCGGAGCGCCTATCTTTAGACCCTAATGATCCCCATTCTGATCGTCAGTGGAAACATTGGAAAACCACTTTCAAGAATTTCGTGGAAGAAATATGTGCTGCAGAAGATGATCTACTAAAACTTCTAACTAATTTTGTGGACTACAACATACATGAAATAATCTCAGAGGTAGATTCTTATACCGAAGCTATATCTATTCTTGACAAACTCTTTATAAAGCCTACTAATGAGGTATATTCACGTCATCAACTGGCCACTAGAAGACAGGAACCTGGAGAAAATATTGATCAGTATCTTCGAAAACTAAAAGAACTTAGTAAAGCATGCAACTTTAAATCTGTCACTGCTAATGAAAATCGCAACGAGTACATAAGAGACGCTTTCATTCGAGGACTAATATCACAGTCCATTCGACAAAGACTTCTTGAAAATCTAACTTTGACTCTTGAAGAAGCTTATAATCAAGCCATTACCTTGGAATCAGCTGAAAATCAGGCGGTTTCATATATTTCAAGCCCTTGTAACTCTATATCTCAGTCAACTCCTAAAGATGTTGATGTTACTGATACAAATGTTTCTCAGGCAGCTTCTGATTCGTCTTCACACCAATTATCCTCGATAAGAAGAGAAAAATGTTTCTTTTGTGGACGGTCACGACACTCTCGAGCCAACTGTCCTGCCAAAGACTCAGTTTGTAACATTTGTGACAAGAAAGGCCATTGGGCAACAGTTTGCAATTCTCGCAACCAAAGTAGGACATTTAAGGGTAAAACAACTCAAAGTGATAAGACAAAAATAAACTCAATGTCTTCTTCTCTTGTTGCTGCCTCACAAAAATGTCTTTCAAAAGCTACAGTGTCACTGATGTTAAACGGCAAACCAGTAGATGCACTCATTGATACTGGGAGTTCCGACAGTTTTATATCTGAAGCTACTGTGAAAAGATTCAATATTTCTAAATACCCAACAAAGCATGAAATATCGATGGCATCAACAAGTCATGTTTCATCAACTCTTGGCCACTGTATTGTTGACATGGTGTGCGATGGCCACGAATACCCACTGACAAAGCTGCTCATCTTAACTGATTTATGTGCCGATGTTGTAATTGGACATGACATCCTTCGGCAACATTCTGCTGTGGAGCTGAATTTCGGTGGTAAACGCCCACCCTTCAATGTTTGCAATCTACTTAGGGCTAAAGTATCACCACCACCACTGTTTGATAATCTAACTAATGACGTCAAGCCTGTAGTCATCAAGTCCCGCCGCTACTCTGAAGATGATAGTAAGTTCATAAAAAGTGAAGTAAGTAGGCTTATATCAGAAGGAATAATTGAACCGAGTAAATCACCTTGGAGAGCACAAGTGATTGTGGTCAACAATGGGCACAAGAGACGTCTCTGTATTGACTACTCTCAAACCATCAACAAATTCACACAGCTTGATGCCTACCCTCTACCTCACATTGAATCATTTGTCTCTAAGCTTGCTCAATACAAAGTGTTCAGTACAATCGATCTGAAGGAGGCATATCACCAAATACCTATTCGGAATGAAGATAAACCATTCACTGCATTTGAAGCTAATGGGAGACTTTACCAATACACTCGAATTCCTTTCGGCGTAACTAATGGTGTGGCGTGTTTTCAAAGAACTATTGATCAGATTATAGAAAATGAAAATCTACTAGACACGTTTGCTTATCTGGACGATGTAACTATTTGTGGTCGTAGCCAAGCAGAACACGATCAAAACCTACAGAGATTCATGGAAGCAACTAAAAAGTATAATCTTACCCTGAACAAAGAAAAATCTAAGTTTTCGTTGACCAGCATTCCAGTTCTGGGGTACATTGTAGAAAACATGTCCATGCGTCCTGATCCTGACCGCCTGCAATCACTCTTGAATTTCCCCGTTCCAACTGATAATGCAAGCCTTAAAAGAGCTCTTGGCATGTTGTCCTATTACGCAAAGTGGATTCCTAAATTCTCTGAAAAGGTTCATTGCCTTACTACAGTCAAATCATTCCCAGTAGGCAGTAAAGAAATATTGGCCTTTAAGACATTAAAAGAAGAAATAGCGAACTCCAGTATGTCTGCAGTTGAAGAGAATATTCCATTTACTGTAGAAACAGATGCATCTGAATCAGCTATAGCGGCTACCCTTTCACAAGCTGGAAGGCCAATATGTTTCTTTTCAAGAACCCTAACTAAGAGTGAACAACATCTACCTGCTGTGGAAAAAGAGGCCCTCGCAATATTCGATTCAATACAGAAATGGAGGCATTTCCTGATTGGAAGACGGTTTAAATTAATTACAGACCAGAAATCTGTGTCATATATGTTCAATCAGAAACACGCGGGAAAGGTTAAGAACAACAAGATTTTAAAGTGGCGATTGGAACTAGCACCTTTCTCTTATGACATAGTGTACCGTTCTGGCAAGGAAAACGTAGTAGCAGATGCATTTTCACGAGTTTCATCTTCCATCTCTTGTAGAGATTTCGAAAAACTCCGTAGAATTCATTGTGACATTGGGCATCCTGGAATAGTACGGATGGTTCATTTCTTAAAAAGTAAAAATCTCCCTTACTCTATCGAAGACGTCAGGCGAATGACCGCTTCATGCTCTGTTTGTGCGGAAGTGAAACCTCGGTTCTACCAAAAAACCCCATCAACACTCATCCATGCAATGGCTCCTTTCGAGAGTTAACATTGATTTTAAAGGGCCAATACCATCTGTGACAAGGAATAAATACATACTCACGGTTGTTGATGAGTTTTCAAGATATCCGTTTGCTATTCCTTGCTCGGACACATCAGCATCTTCTGTCATCAAAGCACTTACATCAATCTTCACCATCTTTGGTATGCCTGCTTTTGTCCACTCCGACCAAGGTTCTGCTTTCATGTCAAAAGAACTGAGTGATTTCTTACACTCTAAAGGAATCGCCACTAGCCGATCTTCACCTTATAACCCTCGAGGTAATTCTCAAGCTGAGCGATATAATGGAACGATTTGGAAGACTGTATCTCTTGTTCTAAGAAACAAGGGACTGAAGACAGAACAGTGGGAGTATGTTTTGCCAGAAGCTTTGCATTGTATACGCTCGTTACTATGTACAGCTACGAATGAGACCCCACATGAACGACTTTTCAAACACCAGAGACGATCATTTTATGGCACCTCTCAACCTCAATGGCTCATGAATCCAGGACCAGTATTAGTGAGAAGGCATGTAAGAAATAACAAATATGAACCTTTAGTGGAACAAGCTCAGCTGATAGAGGCTAATCCAGACTATGCTCGCATCAAGTATAGAGATGGTAGAGAGGCTCTGGTATCGGTGCGACATCTCGCTGTTCCTCCTGAAGCTATCCAACAAGAGGATGAGCCAGTGACTTCGGAAAATCCCAGTCAAGAACTAGATCCTGCTCTTCAAGACCTGAGACGTGAATCAAATCTGCTTCAACCTGAAATTGGGAACTCTATTCAATCTGAAATCGAAACATCCCCTCTGCATGAGACCGTGACCCCTACTTCTGTGAGGGATAACGAAGAAACAAACCTGCGTCGTTCCACTAGAGTCCGAAGACCTCCCACCTATCTAAGGGATTACATTTAAAAAAAAAAGATGGGGTGAATGTTATGTAATATGATTCCTTTTGTACTGTCAAATATTTATTCAGCTGTTTTATTTAAGACTGTTTATATGTAATGTTTACAGTTTTGTGCAATTCTCTCATGTAAAATGTAGCTGACTATTAAGTTGAATAAAACCATATAAATTTGGTTTCTAAACATTTCTTTTCATAACACTACTTAGTAAAGACTTGTACTGACATGTTCAACATGTAAATCTCAAATATCAACTAACATAATAGTAACCTTTTTCCTTCAAGTGTATACTTTGTTGACAGGACAAGCAACACACCTGCTACAAAGGCATAGCGCCAAAGGTCAGTTTGAGTACTCCAAGCTGCAGAATGAACACAAACACAAGCATCGGCCCAAGACTAATGACACGAGGGTGACCCGACCAGCCCCCGGGAGACCACCTGACCCGGTAAGGGCTCCGTCAGAGGCGGTGTTGATAGACTTTGGGGGCGCCCCCCCTCCAGCACCCGCACCGCCCCCAATGGGTCACAGTCCCGGCACGAGCTTGATAGATGAACCCATCGATGTGCCTGAGGATGGTAAGAATTCATATGGTTAAATGTTATAATCATAGCTCAGGCTATGAACACAGTTGCATGTCAGTTGGCATTCCTCTTTTGCCTTGGTTAGTCTGTGGCGTTTGATTATTGAATCTGCCCAGGCGTACCAGCTCGTGCATTAGCTTGATAGACAACCTCTTGATGTACCTTAAGATGGTTGGTAAAAACAGGTTTCATTTGGTTAAACATTATGCATAGTTGTAGACACAGATATCAATCTTTAGACCTTACCTACCTTAAAGTGTCAGATTATTATAAAATTAAATTTCTAGAAGCAAATGTTTTAGCCTTGCATGCTCTTTTCCACATTCTCCAAACAAGCATTAGGAATTAGTAGATGATACGCTAGAGTGCTCATCACCATTTTGACTTTTAAAATATTCACAGGCATAGAAGATGACTGCTGGAGCACCACAGATTCTTTTACTGGAACGGAAGAGAGAGGGTACGCAAACTACCAGAACAACACAACCGCAATGCCCGACCCCTTTGATACATCTCGGGTGTATCAACCAACCAACAGTCCATCACGTTACTACTCTCAAATCACCCCTGAGAACGTGACAATGCAACACTACTCCAACACGGACTTGGAGGAATCCCCAGTGAAGAAACTAGATCCCAAGTTCATTACTGAGCTGGAGAAACACCTTGGGCAGAAGGAAGCGAGCGCTAACACCCATAACACGTGGAACCACGTAGTAGCCAAGAGTGGCTCAGGAGAGTCGATCCCTGCGCTGGTGCCCCCACCGCAGTCGGGAGGGAGACTGCAGCGCAAGCCATCCAACGCAGCCGCCACACTACCAGCTGGCTCCCTAGTGCAGAACTCGTGGTCAACCAAGAGCGTCAACTTGAGGTCCGAGAGTAATCGGTATTCCCGAGCACAAAGTGTTTGTTTGCCTCAAAATTGGAATGTTACAGAACAGGTGGGTTCAAGAATTTCAATTGTTCTTGTTAGAAATCTTTTGAAACCCTATTAATTTGAAGGATTTAACCTAGGTTTTAAGGATTTTTGTTCAGATGGTAGGCTTACCTGAATGAGGAAAGAGTGTCTGGCACAAGAATCAAAAAAGCCTTACACTCGACAACAAAACTGTAATATTTCACTATCTCTAAACCTCTCTCTCTTCCTAACTCAAACCATCCTTGGTTGAAAATGCTGTTAGAGGAAAAGTGAAATATTCATATTTGTGTGTAACTGTGTATTGAGTAATGTCTTTTTGCATTTATTATTTAATTTCAGTTATTTTTTCCCCTTCTTTCTCCGTAATTTAAATAAAACTACATCTAATAACACTTGAAACATATGTTTAAACCTATACTGTTTTAACAAAGCGGTAAATACATACAAATAAAGGTAGTGGTGATTGATTTTGATTGGTCTTTAAAAACATCATCAGACCCAATAGGCAAACGACAAAATACATCTTTCTCTTCAACCTGTGTGTTTGCATTCATTACATTACGCTATGGGTTAGTTAAAAATATAAAAAGGAGTTACCTTAAAATTGGTAACTCCTAAGATTGCCATAGCAAAATTTGGATAAAAACCCAATTTTTTAGTGTACAAGTTTTAAGTGTAAACTGTGTATTTTCAGTATAAAACATACATCAAACTCATATGGCAAAATATTTAACTACATATCTAGCTAAATATTTATACATAGCAAACTTGACATTTATAAATGTTACATTCATTACAGTCATGTTTTAATTATTTTGAAATTTGAATCCCTGGTATAATTTGTTTACTAAATGTAAATAACCTTTTGTACCTGTAGCATTTATATTGTAACTGTAGAACATGTTAAAGGCTTTTGTCACAGGATAAGGTTAAGGGCGCTATTTGAAAATACAGTTGAGTCTCAGTTATCCGACCTTCGTTTATGCGACCTTCCGAATTATCCGACCTCCAACAGTCGGTTGGAACCGCCAGCACAAACATCTCCCGCGATCACGGAACCATCGCCAACATGTCCAACGCTCGCGGCGCGATCATCAACATATTACGCGGTCACGGCGTGATTGTCATCCCGCGATCATGGCACCATCGTTCAACATGTCCGACGTTCGCGGCGCGATAGTCAACGTCTCCCGCAATCACGGAACCTTCATCAACATGCCCGATTGCAGGGTGATCGTCAACAGCTCCTGCGATCACGGAACCATTGTCAACATGTCCAACGTTTGCGAAGCGAATGTCAACAGCTCCCGCGATCAGGGAACTATCGTCAACATGTCAGACGTTTCCTGGACTCATGTCAGACGACATGTCAGACAACATGTCAGACGCCAACTCATCCCGCGGTAACAGCTCCAGCGCAACAATGTTTTTGTCATTTTCTGTGTTATCCGAACTTTTTGTTAATCCAACCTTACTGCGGCCGGTTTAGGTCGTATAATCGAGATTCTACTGTATAGAAAAATGCACTATTTTATTCTGAGTGTTTCGTTAAACCAAGTTTTATTTTCTTTTAAACATAAATTATCCTGACACCTCCTATGGTTGGAAGAGGTCTACAATCACTAATTGATTTTTACATTTCAGGGTACAGGGTCGTCAAAAGATCTAAGGTATGGAAACTTGGCGGCGACTGGTGATGCGTTCGGGTCTTCACCCAGTGTAAATAGTGTTTCAAAGAACGTTAATTTTGATCAGACTCTTTCCGAGTCGTTAGTTAGTAAAATGTGGATTAGCCAGCAACAGAACGAACAGGGTACGAATAGTCAGCCTCAGAAGGAGCAGAGAACAAACTGTCAGTCGTACCAGTACGAACAGAGATCGAGCACTTTGCCTCACCAATACGACCCTGTAGATACATCGTGGAGCAATTATGCCCCTACACCGTCCTCACAGCCTAACTACGCATGTACGCCTTCTTCAAAGTCTAAATACGCCTCTACGCCTTCGTCACAGTCTAACTACGCTCCTACACCGTCCTCACAGTCTAACTACGCTCCTACACCGTCCTCACAGGCTAACTATGCCTATCCTTACTCAACGGTAAGTAAGCCTTGAGTTTTGTTATGTTAGTGACAAAAACAACTTGTTTTGTTATTTTTACCTTTTTTTGTAGTTACACAACATAAAATAATTAGTGTACGATCCCTTTTGGAATTTCTTTGTGTTTCATGTTTTGTTTTTTTCCTGGAAAATACTCTTATAACATTATAAGGGTTAACTTTTGTTTGGGGGAACTTTTTGTTCTTTTAAGGCCGTGAACGGCTTTAGTGCATTGGGTATAGTACGACGGCAACAATGACCGGTGTAACACTTCACCAGTAAGTAATGCACCTAGTAAGCATGCACTTATGCAGGGTATAACTATCATAAATTTTTTTGTAGGTCAGTCCCGGTGGTGATGAGATTAGAGTGAACAAAGTGCGCCAGGTGATGGCCCAGGCTGGAGCCGGCGTAGCTGAGGAGGAGTGTCTGGCGGCGCTACAGCAGCACCAGTGGGACACACAGCGGGCACTGCGCCAGCTCAAACTGGACTCTCTAACAAGGTAGAGACTCTTTAAAGTAGTGCTTTGTTGGTTTGGATCTCTTGAAGGTAGCCACGCCTCAAAGTAGTATTTTGACTCCTCATCGAAGTAGTGCCCTGTAAAATAGTAATACAGTCGAACCTCGTTAGTACAAACCTCGATAAAACAAATTCCTCAATAAGACGAATTTTTTTAAATCGCCTTGAAACTTTCATAAAGGTCAATGCTAAAAACACCTCTGTACACATAGTAATTAGGTTAAAAATCTCCATGAGACAAATTTGTTTGTGATATGGTTTAGGACTAATTAACCTCTCTATGCAACGAATATTCTTTTCACAAAACCTCTACTAGACGAATGCGACCTCTTTAAGACAAATTTCTCATGATCTTAACCTCCATAGTACGTAGTTTTCAAAACAAATAGAAGCTTGTCTCAACATGAAACTCCCCCACCCATCTCTCTCCCTTCCTTATTTTTTGTCTCAGAGCGAGGAAAAACCTCTATAAGACGAATAACAGTAGAATTAATTAAACCTTGATGAAACAAACCTCTTTATTAAGAATACCTCGATGATAAAAATTTTTCCCCTACCCCTTGAAGTTCGACTTATAGAGGTTCGACTGAATCACTATAAGGTAGATGCCGCGCAAAGAATTACAAGTGGAATTGCATGTACATGATATAAAAAAGTATTGTGAACCTGGAAGTATTTAGACTCTTTCATGTAACTACCAGTCAAGTTTAGAGACAGGCAGGAAGATAGAGGCCTTACAAATTTGTAATTTGACTGAACTTGCTTGTCTTTCTGATTTGAATTTCTTTTTAGGCCTAGCAAATTAGTTATTTGAATCTCTAACATGGTAGAGCAAGGCCTTGAGAACCAGTTCTTTGCCTCTCTAACAAGGTAAAGGTATTGTAAATCAGTAGTGCCACTCTTAACTACTTAGAGCCACAAAAGTGAATATTTTTTTTTATGTTCTGAACAGGAAAATACAACAAACAAATAAGTTACAACCAGTTGTTACAATTACTATCCAACCATTTTGGTGTAGTTGTTTTGTGCTGATGCAAGAAAATCATTTTTTTGTATAGTCATTGTTAAACACAACATCAAACTTCTAAATAAAAGTAAAGATTTCAAAACCTCGCTATGTTAAAAATTTAGATTTATTTGCATTTTCTCGGTTTCTGATAACTTGTATGTGTTCAGGCTAGGTTTGGCGTCAAGGCATCAATGTGAAGTCGCTCTCAACTCTTGCGACTGGAGTGTGGAGCGTGCTGCGTCTTACATCCTGGACACTGTGAAGAGCTAGCGACAAGTCAACTCTAGATAACAATGTACAACCTAGCTCGTACAAATACACAAACGCCTTTTAGTGTATTCAATGTTTTCTGTGATCAGTTGTCTTCTAAATCATCTCCACTGGATGAATGGCTGGCAAAAGTTTTCCTGTGAAACCTGAAAACTGTATGTTGTTTTTTATTCTTTTAAATGGTCGATACGGTTCAATTTTAGTACATGCATTGGGAAGGGAAAAAGTATTAAGTCAGCGTTGATACAGTTTTACTTTATTAGACTGAAACTTTAAGGATAAATATTTTTCCTTTGAAAAACTGTTTTACAGGGTGTGGAGGATGCTGGCCATGAAAGGCTCTGGATTTACTAGAGGTTTTTGAAAGTCTCTGAAAATTACAGATTTTTATTTAAAGAAATTCTGTCAGGGATCCTGTGGCTAAAACAAAGTGGTTAAAACGGTAATTTTATCTTTCCTTCCACAACAATTTTAAGCAACAATGGGGTAGTGATAAGGACTTGCCCAAGAACTACTTTAGCCCTGTAATAACACAAGTATTTAAAACAGGTGTTTATGCTGCAGTATAAAAAAAATCATTAAAGTAATTCAAAAAGGGTATGAACGTTAACCATTAGCAGTGGAGAAGTTTTGGTTAGTGTTTATTTAATTAGAATATGTTAATTGTTTAGGTTTTAGTTTATACATTTAATTTCTGGCTTTGTCAACATGGTTCTGCAAATTAAATATCATTTTTGGTGTTAAAAATTGATAAGTAAAAACAAACTGATTTGATTTGATCCAAAAGTTTAGTATTATAAGTAAAATAAAGATCTAAAATGTCCTCTTTTACCAAGTATTTTTTTTACATTTTATAAATAAATTTGTAGTTTGCCCAAGTACCTGAAACTAATTTGACTGTGGACTCTTGTTTTGAGGAAAACTAAGCATTAAATTTAGTTTGTAACTGGTAAGTTTATAATAGATCAGTTTGGGTGGAAACTTTCTAAATCGAAATACCATGACTTACTGAAGTAAATTATTCCCCTGTAAAATGGTGATCATGGTAAATTTTCAACAGGGGATAATACATTTAATTGCTAAAAGATTGTAACTTCTGCCTTTTAATAATAATTTCATAACACCAAATGCCTGATATTATTTTATAAATTAGCTTTATGGGATTTATAGTAAACAAGCTTAGTGACCAGTGTAGCTTGGTGTATCCTTTGTTTATTACTGGCATACAGTGTTGTTATGCTAAACATGTTCTTTTTCAAGCACAATATACTGTAGTTAGAGCCTATGTTTCAATCTAATTTAAACAAGTGTAATATCAATATGTATTGATTTTTTAACTTAAATTGTAATTTGTTTTTGTATATTTTGTATTTTATTAATTTTGTGTTTTATATTTTTAGTGTAAGTATTATTTTAGATTATTTAACATGATGGTCCTTTTTAGTATTTACAACATTACTCTTTGAGACTGTTTGCTTTATAAATATGTACAGTTTTAGATTACCTTCAAATGTAGGTATTATACCTAATTAAACGTATTACCAAATACCATAATAATATCATGGCTTTAAAAGTATTTATTTATACTATCCAACATGTTATATCAATATCATTAAGTGAAATAAACACTTTTAATAATTTTCAGTTATTACAGTCTTACATTTTTTTTCTTGAAGGTCGATATAGGTAAACTTGCAGACAAATAAGAATAATAAATAATTATTATAAACAGTGTTACATTTAGTTAAAAAATACCTACGTAATTATTGTTGGTAAACAATTTTTGTATTTTACCTTTGACTATTAATAAAACTTAAGTATCCAATAGTCAATGATTTGACATAGTAGGAAGACAAATTTCAGTTCTTAATTAATTGTTGGTTAATATCAAATCAATAAAAGGTTTAAATTACCTGTATCCGTCAAGTGATCCTGGTTTGTAGTTGATTGACTACAGCCGTTTCATGTTGTAAAAACACATCTTCAGGTCAAACGTATATACATTGATTTAATCCATGGAATGGTCGTCAAGGTTTAAAGTTCACAAAATTAAAGGTTTAAATTACCTGTATCCGTCAAGTGATCCTGGTTTGTAGTTGATTGACTACAGCCGTTTCATGTTGTAAAAACACATCTTCAGGTCAAACGTATATACATTGATTTAATCCATGGAATGGTCGTCAAGGTTTAAAGTTCACAAAAATAACACATACACGTACACGAAAACATTAAACATAAATTGGCCAACACAAAAGTACGAAAAACGCGCGATAGGCATCGGACACGTACGGCGCCGCTAGAAGTCATGACCTACCTTCTAGCGGCGCCGTACGTGTCCGATGCCTATCGCGCGTTTTTCGTATTTTTGTGTTGGCCAATTTATGTTTAATGTTTTCGTGTACGTGTATGTGTTATTTTTGTGAACTTTAAACCTTGACGACCATTCCATGGATTAAATCAATGTATATACGTTTGACCTGAAGATGTGTTTTTACAACATGAAACGGCTGTAGTCAATCAACTACAAACCAGGATCACTTGACGGATACAGGTAATTTAAACCTTTTATTGTTAAAATCAGTGATCCAGAGGCTATACCATAAAAATAATATCAAATATTTATTGTGTTGATTTTCTTATAATATAGGTTCATATAATATGGTTATGAATTAAAAAGGTTTTCACAAACAAATAATATAATTACCTCGATTAATTGGTCTCTTTGGTTTTCTCAGATTAAGAGGGTTCTACAGCAGCATGAATTTAAATTCAAGATGGCGGATTATATGGATGAAATATAGTTCGGGATTAAGCATGCCTCTATTGTACAAGCTCTCAACTTTTTAAAACTAATCTGTTTCTAATGATTGTTGTGCTTTTTGTGCTCTTAACATTTTAAAGCTTGCAATGGATGAGCGGAAATTAATTTTTAACTATTATTTAGAAGTTAAGACTACATGTAAAAAAGGATAACTTATGGATTTTCAAAATTATTTTTTAAATACTTAAGGAAACAATTATAAAGTTTCAGTTCATCCAGTGCATAGTTTGGATCTTTGTGAATATTTTACAGTTCATTTCAACTGAATACAGACCTATAAATAATGCCACGAGGTTCTTTTTTGTAGGACCATGTTTATGTGGTAACCAGCCGCGGGTGAAACCCTCTTAATTTTACCAACATCATTCATTATATATCTTTTTAATCGTTTACTTTTTTTATCTATCGACATAAATGACAGGTACTTACACAGGGTACTTTGTTATAGATTATTTCAATGGGGTGTTAATTAATAATATTATTTCAGTTATATGAAATATTCTTGTATGTCATTTATCAATGCAATGTACTAAGAATTAGTTATACATAATATACAAACCATTGATATACTTTCTATGTTACATTAATGAGTTGGAAAGAACATGTTATAATGATTAAATATGTTGATAAATTGTAAATAAACAATCAAAAGGTAAATTTGTTAGATTTTTATTGATTACCAGTATCCTCTTTAGTGAGTTTCCTAAATGTTTAACTTAAGTCTGTTAATTAATTATTGTAGATGACCTCACTGGATTTGATATAATGGGGTAGCAAATTTGTTTAACACATATCTATGTTTAAACACTGATCTATTCTATCACTAAATACCGGATAACAAAAACAGGTCATTTCACACTAGTGTAGCAAAGAATTTTGCACCCTCACATTCTGTGAAGGCTTTTTATTTTAACAAAAACATATTTACAGCTGGTCCATACTGAGGGAATAACTAGGCCTACTTCAAAATCAAAACAGCCAATGGTGAAACTCTGGTATTGAACAATTTAGCAAATACACAGCCTGTGTATTTGCAAACACAGCATCAAGGCAGGTGATTAACTGTAATTAGCTGGGAAGTGAGAGCATTATATACTAATTGTCGAGTAAGATTTATATAATTTAAATGGAGCAATGTATGGTGATAATATTTACCTAGATGAACCATTATGGCAGTTAGGCCTAATCTATAAGTATAAAAGAGGATGTTTGTATATATATTTGTTTGTTTGTTTGGCAGTGATAAACTCAGACACCGCTGAACCGATTGCCGCGAAACTTGGTACATACGTGTAGAATGTCATGGAATAGGTTTATACACCATCAATTTCGTGATCCGTCCAATCGGCTCCGCCCCAGTGGCTCTGGAGTTTCCCATGTTAACCTTATGAGAAATGGAATTAATGAATCCTAACAGCTTTTTCAATTAAACAAGTTGGTTCTGTTCTATGATGTTCAATAGCATTAAAGTTACAAGGATTACCAACAGGGTGCAGCACTATTATTTCTTTTACATTTATGACAACAGCTAATTTTCAACCAAAAGGTGAGTGAGCGTAGCGAACGAACTTCAACCTGGAGGCGAGTTAGCGTAGCGAACGAGCTAACCTGAAGGCAAGTGAGCGTAGCGAACGAGCTAACCTGAAGGCAAGTGAGCGCAGCGAACGAGCTCCAACCTAGGAGGATTAAACATTAAGGAGAGGGCACGCGAATAGGAATACACATATTGCGGTGAAGCCAGCTTTAGCAGAAAACTAGAGGGGCACGCGGAGCCGTAGAGTGGCAAAAAGCCGCGGCTATAGCATGGGAGAGATAGGGAAAAACGCGACGCGCGCTGTTTCGAATTAAAATTGTCGCTAAACTAAAACACCTGTGTTATTCACCGATGGCATTCTTAAAGTAAATTAAATTTCCTATCGAACGCTGTCAACCATTTCTATAAAAACTATTGTTTATTATTTATTACTGAAGATAAATTTGAAAGAATTGGCCTGGACTTTGAACATATCATTACTTTAATAACGTTTTTGAAAAAAATATGATGTATCTATACAAATTAACAATTTATTCGTATTCCTTAATAGTTTCGCGAAATAAAAAATATATATTTACCTATATTTAAGAGTGGTATTTAGAAAAATAATTACAATAAATCTTTTTTTATTTTTTCCAGTTTATAAAACAATCTTACTAATTATAGGTTAAAATGAAAAATTTTATTCGGGTGGTGAAATACATTTTAAATTTGCATTTTTCATGGTTCTCTCGATTTGTTAATACCATGTTTTACTAGTTTTAAGAGATTTATGTGCTAGGCAGGTGATTTTAAATAGCTAAAGTTAAGAAAAAATGTAAAGCCGCTCTAACTTTTTTTACACCAACAGCCGTTACAATTAAATTACAAACATAAAAAGTAAAACAATTTCTTGGCAATCAAATTCTAGATTTTTTAATATCATATTGAACTATATTTGATCTGTTTGCCCAAATAAACTTCAAGTAAATAGTGTAAAATGTTCAACAATCATCGCGTCTTCTGACGCCAAAGTGCGTTTATCATTCTTTTAAAGGATTTAAACTTATTTTATATTCTAATATTATGGTTAGAATTTAAGTTTTTAATTTTCGTAGCATGATGTAGTCTAAGTTTTAAATAGTTAATTGATATTTCTGTTACCAAATCTCCCACTCCCAGTAACCCATACAACGCAGTATGAGAGGGGGAGCGGGAGAGTAGCGCTACCTCTCCCCCTCCCCAGTACGGTGGCTTCAACGAAACTACAGCGTGTCCTCTCCTTAATGTTTAATCCTCCTAGGCTCCAACCTAAAGGTGAGTGAGCGTAGCGAACGAACTTCAACCAGGACGTGATTGAGCCATGCGAACGAGATCATCTTGAAAATTAAGAATTTAAACGGGGCTAAGCCCGCGTGATTATAAATAGTCAAAGGCAAGACAACGTCTGCCGGGTTCAGCTAGTTGGATATAAATGCAAACATGGTAAAAGCGTAGGTAGGCTACTGATAAGCTAACTAGCCATCTTGTTATTAATTATTGATTGTAGTACTTAAAAGTAATGTTCTACCCAAGAATACTGCAAAATTTGCTTTTCCAAGAGTCTTAGGTAGAATATTACTTTAATTACTTCATAGTACAAAACATTTAGGATTTAACTAAGAGCTCTCCATGGAATGAGTCAAGATAGATTTAAGTTATAAAGTCTATGTTAGGAGGGAGGTATCATTTAACCTTCTTTAATTAATAGCCAAGATCACTGTTTGTAGTCAAAATGGGTTAAAATTGAAGCTCTGCTGGGGGTAACTATAGACTAGGAATTCTGTTTGATTGAAGAATCGTTGTAATTTTCCTTCTTAAATTGTGAAAATAAGTGAATCAATGAATCAATATTTATTTTTAAACACACTTTTGTTTCTAAGGTTGTCACACTACATGTAAAAACTAACTGGATAGATCATTTAAAGGTATATAATTGCAAACTCAGAAATAAGTAGAATATAAAAATTTATTTTTCAGAAATAAATACATGTAAGTCTGTACACTGGACACTATGATGAAGACGTTAGAAAGGAATGAGATGGTGCTTTGGGTGATTTACAAATTAAAAGGTTGTTTGGGCAGGTGGGGGAGGGGCGGGTGCTGGATGAATCACATTTCCAGTGGGCTGGAATCCGTTCTCATCGGCAACGTAGTTAACCTATTAACAAAAAATTAAAATAATTAAACAAATTTTTGAAGTTGAGGTAATATTGATGAACACATATTTATGGTGTTTTAAAATTTGCAAATAAATTAAAGTTTTGCCTTAAATAGCTTCTATCTAACCAACCCCCAGCATAAGATATTTGAATATTTTGTTGTAATCATAATCATTTGTAAAAATTTAAAAAAATAAAAATTTGAAAATTTAATTAAATTAGGCTAATGGACAGAGAGAACAACAAAGTAAAAGAGCTCTTTAAGCATTTAATCTGACAGAGTAAGTCCTCATAACATCTAAACAAACCCATAAAGAAAAACAAGAGAGGGTTTTAATAATTTATCCCTATCACTGGCCTTAAGATAATATTAATGCTACAATGTAACTGGGTTTATCCCATTTTGCAGCATCAAAATAAAAAAGACCCATAAATTATTTATGTTACTGATATTACATTAGGAATTTTCAATAATTTCTGTTTATAATGTATGAAGCTAATAAATAACAAGTGTGGTTTGTATTATTTTATTAAGTCTTTTTGAAATTCAACAATAGTTTTTTTGTAATTGATGATCCTAAACCCTTTTTGGGAGGGGTCCAAATCCATTAAATTTATGCGGAAATGTTGGGATCCCTTTGCACCGAAGTCTGGATGCACAAGACTAGCAACATGCCCAACATTCTATACCAGCACAAGCCCAAAATTCAACCATCATTAAGCGCGTAAAGTGACTCTTTTCGATCGAGGCGAAGCCAAGATCGGAAAATAAGCCAGGGTTGAAAAGACACTTATTGTTGCCCGTGTGATGAACTATATTTTCGTCATATTGCACCATTATTTAAGTAAACTAAGGTACAAATCAATTAGTATATTTCATCACTAGGGCCTAAAGTGACTCTTTTTGACCCGAGGTCAAGTTTCAGGATCGAGGCGAAGCCGAGATCGGAAAATGAGCGAGGGTTAAAAAGTACGACGGCGCTGAAGGGCCACCAACTGTTAAAAAAATTTTGTCTTAATCTCTGAGTTAAAACTTAGAATTCTGAGTTTAAAGTCAGAATATAACAAGTGGGCGTTCCACTCTGAGATTAAAGTCAGAATTCAACTAGTGGGCGTTCCCCTCTGATATTAAAGTCAGAATTTAACAAGTGGGCGTTCCTCTCTGTGAAAGGAGTTAGAATTCTGAGATTAAAGTCAGAATTGAATTGTGGGCGTTCCTCTCTGAGAAAAAAAGTCAGAATATAACTAGTGGGCGTTCAACTCTTAAGTCAGAATTGAACTGTGGGCGTTCCTCTCTTATTGCAACGATATTATCAGCATATCGATGCTATCATCCCTACAATCTTAGACAAAATAAATAATATAAATTTCATTTCTGTTGTCTATTCTACTGTGTTCTACTTGCAACGTTGCCAATTCTACCAGGCCGCGGCCTGGAGTTAAAGGTGGCCGTAAGAAGAGTAGAGTAGTATAGACTAGATAGAGTTAAGTCCAATTCTTACGCTAATCTCAGAGATAAACGCCCACAATTCAATTCTGACTTAAATCTCAGAATTCTAACTCCTTTCACAGAGAGGAACGCCCACTTGTTAAATTCTGACTTTAATCTCAGAGGGGAACGCCCACTAGTTGAATTCTGACTTTAATCTCAGAGTGGAACGCCCACTTGTTATATTCTTACTTTAAACTCAGAATTCTATGTTTTTTCTCAGAGATTAAGAAAAATATTTTTTTATAGTTGGTGGCCCTTCAGCGCCGTCGTAAAAAAGACACTTTTTTCCCGAGTGGTGAACTATATTTTTCGTCATATCGCATTATTAATTAACAAACTAAACTGGAAAACGAAACAATTTATATGTAAAGATAACCTCTCAAAACGACTTCCAGTTTGTTTTCAATTCTGCTAATACAAATAAGCAGCTGTTTAGTAAGTGATTCAATCACTTCGTCTATTAAGATTGTGTTACAGTACATTATACCCTCGATAGGTCGAGCGATCGACAGCTATAGGCTAAAATCTTGCTTAATAAATCAATCGATAAATAATTTTGATCGATAAGATTGCCACAATCGAAAGTTACAACTGTTTTAAACAGCTAATTTTTACTCCCTAGAGACTAAAAATGATGTTTACTCCCTAGAGATTAAAAATTATACTTTAGACCCGCAACGCATGTATTAAAACCTGCTTTTTTACTGCAGTATGACGAAAATGATATTATCCTACATCAAGCCATGGAATGTTTTAATTGCTTTTACCCAAGGGTATCTATTAAACGTTTACTCAACTGTGGAAAACACTTAACCAGACGTAAACAACAGCCAAGGGCCAGTCGTTGTTTACCCTAGGAAGATAAATCATCTGTAATCTGTTTATATTTTCTACCCTTCACTATAATGTGGGTGGAATATCCAAGTTGTTATCTTACTTTGCTTCACTCATCACCCGCTATAAAAATAAAGTGTACTTTGAACATATTTTTTTATCAATTGTTTCGTATTTGTGAATTTAGTGAGAGGATTTCTTTAACGATCTGAGAAGTCTGAAACTTAACGTTTGATGTTAAGAACGTATTAAGAATCGCCAATTATGTACCATTGTTCTAGGTAATTTTGTAGGGAGACGGTAATTTGATATTGGAACAATTTAAATAGACACAATTAAATCGGCTTCCAAAAGTTATAGTGCTTTTTAATCGTCTGGGTTTTTAGCCCCGTAACTTGATTTGAAAACAGGTACCGGTAGACTTGTTACCGTTTTACCGATACTTAGAATTTATTGTATACTACCGATACAATAGCAATAAATCACGATTATCTATCATGGAAGATTTTATCTGAACGCCATTGACTTAAACAAATATAAAAATGAGTTTTAGCTTGTTTCAGACACTTTTTATCAGGTCCTATTGATATTTACATGATTTACATAATTCCCATGAAAATAGTTTTTACTAATTATACGTTCTGAACTAAATGTTACTAATATTACCAGTTTTAAGTTGTAAATGTTAAATCAACAAATTTGCGTTTGGAAATTGGAAATCGCAACGTAATAACTTTTTACGACAACCTGAATTGGATTACAAGCAACTATTAGTAAACACCATTTTATAGACAAAGGAAAATAGTGCATCTGTAAAAACAATGATTGGCGACTTTGGAGCCATTTTTGTAATTGATTTAGTCCTAGAAAAGTGAAATTAGTACTGTATACTCAAAGTAAAAACCAACCCCCTTCAAGTATTTGTTGTGAAAAATTACTTTGATAGGGTAATTAAATTGTCTGTATCTGTATCCGAATGGTCGTATTGCTCACCTAATCTGGTTCTGACTCGACCAGAAGAAAGATCGAATCTGGATCTAGACAACTTAAGAAATTTTGCTATGCATTGTTCGATTCAACAAAAGGCCGACTTGTAACAATACCAAGGTGTATAACATTTTCTTTTCAGAAACGTGAAATGGCAGTGGTGTAGATAAACAGAAACAATTCAAATTAAATGATGCTAGCGAGTGCTAGATCTAACGAAAGGTGAACGTCAGATGGTAACAAGACCAGGGTAAGGCCGTTTATTTATGTTATCATACCTGCACACGCTTGCCATCGGGGTCGTTGTAGGAGTAGCTGCCCGTGTAGACGAGGACGTGTCCCTTACCATCAGCTCTGGGCTTCAGTTGACCATACTCTTGGCGAACCTGACCGTCGGAGCCCTGCACACTGTGGAGTAAAGAACACAGATAAGAAATCACAAAAACAAAAGCATAGATAATAAAACATACGCCCTGGAACAGCTGAAGCCAATTTTATTTTTTGTTCCGTCCGGTGCACTGTAGAGGTCGTGTTTTGTTTACAATTTGTTTCTTGTAATTTCAGTGATTTAAAACCACGTTTAACCAAATAAAACGAGTTAACCATGAACAATAACTCGTCCCCTAGTTATATAGCCAAACAGTAAAGCACAAATCACGAAATTAACCATAAATTAATAGAAACAAAATTTAGTTGTCACTAGTGGTCAGTGTCACCGGACATGAACTAGACACGAAAAATGAGCTTCAAAATTTGGGATGAGAAGTCTACTTGTGTTGTTAGTCTATGGCAAAAGTGAGTTAAGGATTTTTATAAATCCCTAAGTTAGCACGAGCAATATTTTACTGGGGTTTTTCTTGACATAAATTAAACATATTGATATTTAACTGAGATAGCTTGGATCTCAGTTGTATATAGTTCTGTAGCGCGCGATCAAAAAAAATTGTAAAAACAAAAATTTGACCTTGTTAGTTATTTATCATACCATATTATTATTAATTAGATAGCATAGTTATAAATAAAATTTGTATATATACTTTTTTCTTACTAAGAAATTACTTCAAGAAATTGATTAGAGGATTCAAAATTGAATGATCTTCACTACGATTATCTTATATTTTAGTAGCTAGTGCAGTTATTAAACTGTTCAAGTTTGCAATTAAGGTTTTACTTTTTAATTAATTTGGGTTCAATATATCTTAAAAAATAAATTGATTGTTGTATTCACACACATTTTGTTGGCTCGCACCTAATTGTTCAAATACAATCAATTTTACTTAAACATTGTTTACTTTGTATATTTCATTACTGCGTACATTAATGTGCATCAGGCTTATGTAGGCCTATACAATTCATACTTGGCTTAAAATACCTACTTTGTATGGTCGCCATTTCATTGAAAAGTATTTAAAAAGGGAAAGTAATATTAATGATGTATCTTAGAAAATGTTTATTTGTTAAAAGAATAAACACAACATGTCTAAAAGTATCACACTAATGTCTGTGAGCAGTGGATAATATTTGTGAATACTTTAATTAAATATTTAACGTCTCAAAAAACAAGTAGCTCTTTTATCACAACTAGTATCAAAAGTGATCCAAAACTAAAATATCTATGTTATTTTAAATTGTATATTCTCAAAATCCTGGTGGGAAGCTAACCACAATAGTTTTTACACACTTGAATGATTATAGTTATCTTTGATTATTGAAAGGAGTAGACATCATATTTCTTTGCTTAAAAGTTGTACAGTTTGTCGTTTAATGAAAATCAACGTAACCTAACCAAGCCACGGACAGATTGCAGATGGGAATTACTGGTATTTATCGAATGCGCCAACGTTTTAACCAAGCAAATTGAAAGAATAACGTATTGTTAATTAGACAATCCGTTATTTCACATCGTATATCACACAAAAATTAAGGGAATAAATGCGAATTTTTGCCGTAGCGCACTCAGTGTCTAACCAAAGTAAATTCTATTTGAAAAATTGGCTACAGCTGGCACATATAGATTGGATAACTACTCCTGTAATAAGTCAATGGTATACCTGTAACTGAACTGGCCGGCGTCGTCCTGAAGATGCGTCCTTTGGACAATCTGAGCGACAGGGTGGGTAGCCTGGAGCTGACTGAACTGCGGGCGGGCGTACGCCACAGCCACGAGGACCAGGAGGAGAGCGACGCAGGAGTTCATGACTAGAGACCCAGGATCGAGAATGGACACCCGGAGAATGCGAGAGCTTAAATACTGCTGTGGTAGACTCCCGGCGGATGGCCATGACTGTGTGTCGCCCGTCGTCCCCTGAGGCTCGGGAATACCGGGGACTCAGCCCCAGTGGTCCTGGGGTGAAGATGGAATGGGAGGAACTGAGGGTCGAGGTTGTCATGAGAAAACAAAGGGTGTTGAAAATCCTACGGAGTGATGTGTTTTAAAAAATTGCACAAACCTCGATACACTTTTCATGTATAGAAAGGATTTTCTTAACATTTTGTTACGGTATGCGTTGTTTTAAAACTCCAACATTCTTTGCTCATTTTTGGTGGTATTGAGAAGATTTTTAGTAGTGAGTTTATGTTATTTAAAATGTATTTGAGGACATTTTTGATCACGATAAGTGAAATATAAACGGTATCCGCAATCTGACACATACTTTCTCCTATAAGCTTGTCAACAACCTTTAATTAACAACCGTAATTCATGAAGCAATGGGGGGCTGTACTGTTTTCTTTAGAATCATAAGGACCATAACAGAATAATTTTGATCAAAACCAGCTTTTCTCCAAAATCCGATAATGTTGTTATTTTATGGTTTTTATGGGAAAATAACACAAGTTACAATAACGTATTTGTAGCTGGAATCTGAACCCGTCCTAAAGTGAGAAGTATCAAAAACATAGATTAGGACACAAACCCAGTAAAAGCTGGAACACCATAAAAGAAAATCCACGCCTAACTAGATTTTTGAGTTTGGAAAGGATCGATGAAATTGAGTGACACAAGTGGGTATATTTTACATGTTTACTGTCCAAGGACTTTATAGTAAACGTGCATCCAAAACCGTTGTTTGGACATTGTTTAGCAGTTAAACACTTTACTTATAACTTTGTCTATTTTTTACGTGGAACTTTAAACTTAAGGATATGACTGCTTGTCCCCCCTAAACACCCCTTGAAAGGTGGGTTGAAGGTGGGTTGATTAACGTCGCTGAATAGGTGAAACCTATCTTAACGTATTTCTGGTACAATAATGTTATATGATATTACAAAAATTTTACTCTAAGCGAGTATCATAAATTGCGTAACTTTGCCTATTGATTACATTGGTGCTAAAGAAAGACAATGCTGAAACATCAAAAAATAACGAACCTCTTACAGTGTATAATAAACATTAAGGCTTAGTTCGTTTAAAAGTTTTATCATAACATTCATATTCACACTTTAAATGCCCGCAAGTGCTTTTTTGTTTGATTTATAACCTGGAAAAGCATTCTAAACACGCGCGTATGGCAGACATGAGGGGGTTTGATGTGTAATTTAAATGCCCACATGCAGCAGACCTATAAACCTAGCAAGTTTTGGTTGGTTTTTAAAAATCACATCCTAAAATCTTTTACCTACAACAGTTTTTTTAACATGCCTTTTCAATTCAATTTTCAGTATCGAAAAGATCCACTTGGTGCCGCATTGTTTACTTACTTTACAGCACAAGTGTGGCAAAGTAACGGACCAATGGTGTTCAAGAGTTGAGAGAAAAGAAGTAAAATTGTTATGTTTCGGACCCCAGTTTATCAGCTAATATAAGGCTAGTTCAATTATTAAGTTCCGCTGGAAACTCGCACATTCTTTCCTTCATTCTCCTAACAGTTGCAGGAAGGTTTATTACATTGAATGATTTTAAAAATGACAGACAATTCTTGTGATATATACGAAATATAAGTAAAGGCATATCGTACACTCAGACCCGCCACACCACACAGCCTTAAATAAATTCCGTCGGACTTTTTATTACTTCATTATTATTTTATTACTAGGATGAGTGGCACGATCTTGTAGTCTTGTTAGTAACTAAGGCCAACTTATTTCTTAGACACAACTGTTAATTAATAGCCTATACAGCTAATGGCAACTAAGGGACCCTACAGTTTATAGTGGAATACGAACAACATTTTTGCCATGGTTAAACTTCTTCACATGTAGGCTAGTTTAATGTAACTGCGTACGGCGCAGCGCCGCGCTGCCCCCAGTCGCCGTGGGATAAAAACAAATGTATTACTCTTAGGATGTATCACCGACTCCTACAGATTCAGTAATACATATGATGAAATTTTAACTATCAAGAGAATATCTAATGACCGAGCTTTTATTTTGAATTATCGAACCTTTTTTTATTCACCATGTATTATGTTTCTATCTTTGAACTACCAAGAGTAGACTGTATGCGGATGTTAGGTGTGCGGCGTAACGTTTTCACCAAAATGTCGGGTTTCCTTGTTTTAAATTTACTAGTTGTTCTGCACGTGCTTCGCAACGGGACAAGAATACTTAAGACAATACTGTAGGTCACTAAATTTACTGTAAAATCCAGGTACACACACTTACCATAGAAATTATACAGTCAAATCTCAACCGTACTTTCTTGCTATTTTTAATTAATCTCTTCTGCATTTACACTAAACTGTGAGGCAGAATCAAATTAATAACATTATTGTAATGTAAACATCCATATTGAGAATCAAAAGATAACGTAGAGAAAAATTAAAAATACAAACTATAAATAAAAACTCCCGCCGCAGCAACCCTGCAGACTCAACTATTTTCCATTTGCCTGATTTGATTTTCAATTCAACCTATTTCAATAACATAAGGAATAACAAGTACCTTGGTTTGCTGCTACAGGGAGGGTAAAAAAGTGCGTTCTTTAGTAAAATATTTATAGCTTGGTGTAAAATAAATAAATTTGCCAAGTTTGATCATAATATCGCCTTAAACAAGCAAACTACAACAGTTAACTTATTCTCTATAAGAAATAAAATGAGAATAACTAATAACCTTAACTAAAAACCGTACAAAACACTTCAAAATACTATAGTTATTTGTGTAACTAGTGGGCAAAGGCCTTTTGCACTCGTGTTACACATTATATTTTTCCTACAGTCACTATAAAGCATATAAATAATTAGTCCTTCAAACACTATACAACACGATTTTAGGTTCAGCTGGCAACACAAATAGGTGCCCTAGAGAAAGTAGTACTCGCTCCGGGTCACCGGAATTTTATCCCCCTGGAATTTTACCCCCTGGGCAAAGCTGACGTCACTATGACGTAGTAACCAGAGTGGCCAAAAAGTTGTTCGCGGCCGGAATTTTACCCCCGCGGATTTGGAAGTCTAATGAAAATAGTCAGAGCGTGATTAATTAGATTAGCGATAAAAACCGGAATTTTACCCCCTGTCCATATAACTAGCATTTAGACAACTAAAGATATACGGGCCGGATTTTTACCCCCGGATTTTTACCCCCCGGAATTTTACCCCCTAGCCCATTTTAGAAATTGAATGATTGATTTTCTTATTTCTGTTTTTAATTAATTGTAAACATTTCATTATTTAGTAGCCTATCTTTATTTATTTATTTTATAATCTGAACTAAGTAAACAGAATTCGCTGTTTTATTTTGATCATACTAACCAACAGTTGGCTTTTAAAGATCGAATCCTGATACTCGAATCTCAAAATTAAAAATAAAAACCTGATCGATTAGTTAATGTTACAAATAAATTAAAGATAGGCTACTTAATAATAAAATGTTTACTATTAAATAAAAACTGAATGAAGATAATTAATAATCATTCTCACTAATTTATATATCTAGCCAGGGGGTAAAATTCCGGGGGTAAAAATCCGGGAGGTAAAATTCCGGGGGTTATAATCCGGGGGTAGAAATCTGGGGGGTAAAATTCCGGGGTAAAATTCCGGGGATAAAAATCCGGGCCGTTTCATTCTAGGTTTTTAGCGAATTTCCCATATAGGGAATAAGCTTTTACCGTAGGTCTCATGGTAAGACCTAGACCCGGGACCGATTTACTTTTTCGTTTTGAGGTCCTCAGAGACCAAAAACACCATCCGTTCAAATTCATATATATATATTTATATATGTGTCCGTTAGCGCGATAACTCGAGCAAAAATTATCCGATTTTGATGAAATTTGGTACAAACGTGTAAACCTACGTTTATTTGAACGAGTTCACGAAGCAGCATAATCGGACCATGGGAACAGGGGTTTATGGGGGGTTTTATGGGGTAAAAATGGGTTTTCCCATTTTTTACCCTAAAAACAAAAGATTTTGCAATTTCTTTCTGAACCATTTTGTAGAGCTTAAAAAAATAAATAATTTAGTATATTGAAGCGCTGTTGTATGCCTAATGGTCACGGAGAAAATAAAAAAAAGTGTAATTTAAAATTCCCATGTTATTCTTATGGAGAAAATGAAAACTGTTGTAGTTTACTTGTTTATGGATATATATTGATAAAATTTGGCAAATTTATTTATTTTATCCTATACTATTGACATATGGTCAAAAAACACTTTTTACCTTCCCCGTAGCAGCAAACCTAAGCACTTGTTAAATCTAATGTTATTTAAATTGGGAATAAATATGTCTTATTTATGGAAATATTTTAGTAAAAATGTAATCAGACAAGTTGAAATTCGCTTAGTCTGCAGGTTTGCTGCGGCGGGGGTATATTATAATTTGATGTGTTCTGATTAAACTCACAACCGTGAAAATATATGTTTAATTCCGCGTTTAATCCATCGAGCTGATGTCGCGAAACTCAAAAGTTCGTGACCGGAATTTTACCCCCTGGTTTGTGACGTTACGTGTGCCCAGGGGAGGGGGTAAAATTCCAGGGGAATAAAAATCCGCTACCCCCCCGCTCCGTATCACTCTACTATTTTTCCTCGGCAAGAAATGTCCTCCGCTTTTGAGAATATAGTTCCGAATGTTTTTGTAATTTGAAGTGGTTTCCGCGCCTAAAAAAATGCTTTGAAGGTATTTTCTTGTTTATTAAGATCGTAGGAATGTTTTAAAAACTTTTAAAAGAAAAGTCCAGAAAGTTCAAAAATACCGAAACGATAAACACGAAATGACAAGTTAAATTGTAGTTATAATAGTCAATCAGCTGCTCATAGTATTATTATCTTTAAGTGTTGCCAACCTATTTCCAAGCGTACATGGATTACGTGCATAATAGAACCACGCTGTTCTGTGTTGTTTCGTTGGAATCCTGATGTGCGGCAAAGTATAAACCGTACGACAAAGTATAAACCGTACGGCAAAGTATAAATATGCAGCAATTAGTTGCTTTCTGTACTATAAACAGTACAAGGAAGCCAACTTTGTCGGGTGACTGTAGGCAAAATTATTTTTTTAAGCTTTTCAAAGTGGTTTGGAGAGAAATTGGGAAATTTTAAGTTTGAAGGTCAAGAATGAGAAAACCAAATTTTTACCTCTAGATCCCATGGTCCGATCAAGCTGGTTCGTGAACTCGATCCTAAAAACGTTGGATTACACATTTGTACCAAATTTAATCGAAATCGAATAATTTTTGCTCGATTTATCGTGCTAATTGATATATATTGTACACGTGTCCGTTAGCACGATAGTTCGAGCAAAAATTACTCGATTTCGATGAAATTTTGTACAAACGTATAAACCTACCACACACATATATATAAACATAAATGCGAGGTGAGTTGGGGGTGTTATTGATATATAAATAAAAAACGTGTTATTAATTCCCTAACAAACGATACCATGTTCAAAGTATCGGATAAAAAATAGCTGAAATATCAAGATTTTTAGTTTTAAAATGGGGTAAAATAAGGTTAAGCTAGTCAGGTTTGCCTCGTTTTACCACTAAAAATCATGATATTTCAGCTATTCTTTATTTGATCTTTTTCCACTTGGTATCGTTTAATAGTTTGGTTTCTGTAGCTTAAGTAATTCTTGAGATATGTATTGTTTTGTAAAAAATACAAAATGGTGGCTAGTGGCTAAACGATTTTTTTTTACCTATGCTAACATGAAAATTTTTGTTTAGATTGATTAGTACTATCAGCCCCTAAAGTTTGTGACGTTCCTTTATGAACACCCTGTATAAATGTATTTGAATTTGAACGGATGGCGTTTTTGGCCTCTAGAACATCAAAACGAAAAAGTAAATAGGGCCCGGGTCTTCTTCATGGTCTTGTATTGCTAAAATATTTTTTAATTGATTAGGTACTGAACTATCCATTTAAACATTACGGTTATTTAATTACATTTGTACAATGGGAGGTTTGAAAGGAACCTTTAACCATTATAAACTTCCCATCCAATGTAAACAATTTTAGCCCAGAAAATAAATGAAGGTCAGGACCATCTCACCAGAGGGTACTAGAATAGTCAAAGGTACTAGTTTATTGGGTTAAATTAAGCTAAAATAAACAAGACAGAATGCAGTAATACAAACAATATGGAAAGTTCCCCTTAAAAAAGAATTATGATCTTAAAGGGCAATTTATAAAACAATGGATAGTTTTGCGAAAGGTTATTCGTCATTACGAACATTTTAAGTATATGGTTTACGGGGGTGCTTGTTTCTTTGAGGAAACGTATTAAAAGACTACAATTATATTATTATGACTGATGACTCCAACGTCGTGTTTTAAAAAACCCCAAAGTAGAACACAATTCGTTAGTTGAATATTTTTACCATCTTAACTTGTTCATTTTAGTATTGGGGAGTCGTAGCTTCAAAAACTCAATTTGTTACAATACAAAGTTATTTGTATAACTAGTGGGCGAAGTGGTACTTTGCTGCACACGAGAGAAATGTTTACGCACGAGCCGTAGGCAAGTGTGGAAAGTTTTTGAGTGCAGCTAAGGCAGTTTGCACTCGTGTTACACATTATATTTTTTTACAGTTAATATAAATCATATCAATAATTAATCTTTCAAACACTGTACAACACGTGTTTAGGTTAGGTTTAATCCAAACATTGAACAAAAAGGGAAACGCTGCACCAGTTGATCGTAGTCGTAATATATTTAAGTGTTGTCAACTTATTTTCAAGCGTACACGGATTATGTGCATAGTAAAATCACGCTGTTTTGTGTTGTTTTGCTGGAATACTGGTGTGCGCCAAAGTAAGGCTTCGGTACTATAAACTGTGCAAGGAGGCCCACTTTGTCGGGTTACTGTAGGAAAATATAATAGGTCAATATTTGGACGGCTCTATCTTGAATACGGTTGGGTTGAATCTAATAACAAATAAAACAAATAATGTTTTATTGAAAGTGAGAAAGTCGTAGGGGGTTACTTCACCTTTTGGAATTTGAGTTATATCATTTGATTTTATTTATCAACTGAATAAAAAATGCACATATTTTTCCTGGTTATAAATGGTATTTTTAAAAATTTTCCACCCAAAAGACTTCGAAAAGGCTATTGCTACAAATACAAGTACAAATATTAACTATGAGTCTACTAAAGTCAATGGTAATGGAAATACTGGAGTAAACTATTGTACATAGTGCGATGACCATGACGTTTAAAAATTAGCATTTTTAATTCAATAGAGTACTAACTTTTTCATTTAATTTAATTAATTCATTTTAGCTAAGAATTTAGAGTGAACAATTCCCTCTTTTGGTTTACCATTAAATGTTATGATTTTTTCTCACCCTGATTTACCAACATGTTGTCCCATTTTCAATAGTCAATTTAATATTAGATGTAGCAGAGGTTACTAAAGACACGGTTATGGATTTTATTCGTGTTATATATTTATTTAAGCCTTTATACGACTAGGAGCTGATAAATCTATCATGATTTCAGATCAGAACCATGTCACGTCCCTAATCAGGTGAGCTCTGTTGTTGCTGTGACGGGTAGTCACAAAAATTATTTTCAAAATCTTGGGATTATATTTCAATAGTAAAAGACTTGGTAAATTGGTTTCACAATTCATATACCAGTGTCAGAACATTGGGATTTAGTAGACAGAATCCTTGATGACACGTATCCTACTCAATCGATCGAGCCATTGAACCCGTAGACTCAGCATTAGTACCTTGGAGAGACTGAGGTTTTAATTGACCGAAAGCAGAGAAGGTATTCACTTGGCCCCAGATTGTCTCAGGGGACACTTCCCCTGTCGCCGGGTTTTTGCGGTAAGGCGACTACTTCATTAATATTCATACTTTTCATACTTCATTCATAAGCCAACATTTTCAATAACATATTTAATAAGACATATTTAATAAGCCAACATTTTCAATTGGTATCATTGACTATATACACAGAAATATATTTCTGTATATATATTTTATTAACATGGTCAATGATTATTAGAATAGTGATTAAACGTTTTTTTACCTCTCACCAAAGTATTTTTATTATTTAACACGCCCCCGGTCACCCAAAGTATAATCATGACAAATTGGTGGAGGCGCCGTGTAACGATCCCCGTACCTCTCACAGTGTGAGACTACCCGACACACTGCCCTGATGATGGTATCTGTATCGAGACCAAAACGTCAGCTTAGTTCCAACGTCAACAACTCACTTGGAAAACAAAGAAATTTACAGTTCATAGTACCGGGTGTCCGAAAAAGAACTGAAGCAATTGAAATGCAAATACTGATACCAAATAAGAGACTATGTTTAATGTTTTATATATGTGTTAAAAGCTTAGCCTAAATTCTCAAGTTTTATTAGAAACTTAGTATAACTCAATATGAGCACCATTAGTGGCCCGGCATAAATCTGAGCGAAATTTTACCACTTCCCAGGTATTGGTCAGTACTTCAGGGAATGTTGCAACAACACATGCATCTATTCTCTGTCGGAGGTGATTCAGATCCCGAATCTGCACTGAGTAGACATCATTCTTTCCCACCCCCAAAGGAAAAGTCCAGAGAAGTCATATCTGGACTCCTTGGAGGCCATTGGATGGGCCCTTCCCCGCCAATCCACCGATCGTCGAAACCAGTATGGAGCGCTTCTCGCACACGCAAACTGTAGTGTGGTGGCGCTCCATCCTGTTGAAAATAGCCAGGGCCATTCCCCATCTCAATGTCACCCAACGATGGGAAAACATACTCCCACAACATGTCACATTGAATAGCACCGTTTATATCCTCTGAAATACTGACTAAAACCTGAGATTATGTCAAATTTCACTTAAATGTATGCCGGATCACTAATGGTGCTCATATCGAGTGATACTAAGTTTCTAATAAAACTTGAGAATTTAAGCTTTAAATACATATATAAAACATGATACATAGTCGCTTATTTGGTATCAGTATTCGCCTTTAAAATGTTTCAGTTCTTTTTCGGACACCCGGTACCTTTTATGAAGTGTAGCCGTGAATCTTTTAATCTAAGAGCTAATTAAAACAAAGGAAAGTGGGTTAAGGAATACAATATTTATAAATTACATTTAATTAAATATGACTACTTGAAGGACGGGGCAACGCTATGGACAGAGACGGGGATGACAGAGCCAACGGGGCGGAACCCATTCTCGTCAGCTACGTAAGAGATCTCCACAGGGATACCCTCCGGGGAGGTGTATCTGAAGGAACCCTTCTTGACGATGACGTTGTCCAAATGGTCGTTGGTTGGGCGGAGCTCCCCGGTCTCCTGGAAGTTGGCACCGTCAGTCTGAGTGTACCTGTAACAGAGAGATCGGGAGTGAGAGAAGAGGTAGTTTTGGAGGGAGATCTTCAGAGGACTAAGTTTTCTTTAAAGAAACCACCTGATAAAATAAAATAATGGATTGATCAAGTTCATTGATTCAATTGATAGCAAAAACATATGTTGTTGATCATGGACGCTAGTGCTGGTCTCAAAATTCAAACGCAAACAAAATAAAAAAATAAAGTTAGAAAGTAAAGTGTTTAGGTACGTTTTTCATATAGCCTATTAAAAAATGCTATAGATCCCGTAACATATTATCTCCAAATTAGTGTGAATTAATTAAATGCGTTTTGCAAAATAATCATTTTGCGAATCAATTGTATTAGCCGCAAGATAAACTATTCATTCGTTAAATATAAAATTATGGACTTGACATACCTAAAAATAAATCTTAGGTTTGCACCAATCATTGTTGTCATTAACATATAATATCAACAAGGTATGAATAGGATATACAGAAGTAATATGAAACAAATGTATTCCTCGAGTTATTCTCGTGCTTAGTATAATTTATGTGTTTTCTTTTAAAGATTAGATTAGCCTAGTTAATACAGCTCAGTTCATTACATTCAGCTACAACTTTAAACAAATTTAATTTCAATCCAAACAACATATATTTTGAACATTGATTTTGATCAGAGTTATTAATTAAAGCTAACCAAAGTGACTTAAAATACGTATTAACAGTTAAAAAAAGGTTTGTCAGCAAAAGTAAGTGCACGTGTATATTATTTAGCCTCAAAAGAGTACAGTATAGTTTTTTAAACGGTAAATTTGCGTGACATATTTCAGAATTGTTAAAGAAGCTGTACTGACGTTTTAAGTACTTTGATGTACTCAAAAACGTCTCTATAACTTTTAGTGTGATTTAGAATAATTTGAATTCGCGGTATTGTTTGTTTTTGAACTGCACTAAGACTATTTGAGCTACACTCGTTATGAAAAAAAAAAAAAACTGTTAAATGTTTCTAAGTTAATCATTAGAGCTAAACTTAAACTTTTCAACAGAAAACAAACCCTATTTATAAAAATCTTAATTTTTATAGTACGGCAGATAAATTGGACCATCCTATTTTACCCAAAGACACCAGTGGTCTGCAAATGCTCAATTCCAAGTGAAATCGTTTCTGGACCCCGATGCATTTTGCCATTAGGCTATCAATTAGTTCTTATATATGACTACAGGTCAACATCATGTAGTAATACGAGCAGGGTTTGACCATACCATTAAAAAAAACGTAAAACATGTAAATGGCGTGGAAACACAAACAAAACACTGTCGTTAACCTAAAAAAACTTACGAGTTTGTGAACTGTCCGCGGTCATCCTGCTGGTAGTTCCTCTGAACGATGCTGATCTTAGGTTGAGCGAAGGATGGGGCAGCGGCTGGGAAAGAGCTGAAGGCGGGGGCGGGTTGGGCAAACGAGTTAAAAGCGGGTTGTGGGGGAGGGGGTGCGGCAAATCTAGGAGATGCGAAGCTTGGTGCGAAGGGAGCGGGGGCCGAGAAAGGAGGAGGGAAGAACTGGGAGTCTGCGACAGCCGCGACGGCGAGGATGAGGAGGGCGATCATGGCGAAGAGCAGACTGATCCTGCGAGAGCAGTCTGCGTATATATATTGGACCTGTCAACAACCACGCCGTCATTAGAAGAGCCCAAAGGGTTTCAGTCGGTGGGGGTGGAAACTGAGCATCCGCGTCCACCCTTCAGATGACTGGCAAACTAACAACGTCCCTGATTTTTTGGCCAATTAAATTGAATAAATTTCTTTGAATTTTTTAGTGTCTGCGCCAGTAGGATTTTTAAATTGAGGACTCGCAAACGCTTTGAAGGGAAAGCTGGCTAAGCCCATCACATCTTTCTAGATGTGTTAGAAACTGAGTCCGAAATATCACCACTGGGCTAGCAACACATCATATTTTGTTATAATTTCAGTAGTATTATACAATGAATGTGTACAAATAATTCATGTTCTTGTATCAGTGCAAGACCAGAGTGCCCACTGGCTGCGAAACTGTACAGCATCTAGAAAAAAATCAGCCCAGTTGCCAATGTTGCCATATACCAACCCCAAAAATCCACGAATAATCTGACCGAAAGACACAAAAATTATATATCTAAAATATTGTTTCTTTCTACAATGATAATCACACCTGCCGTTCAGGACTCATAATATCTATTGAAAATTACAAATTTTAAATTTATGTGCACGAGTTCTCAAGTAACATGCTGGCATTAAATAACTAGTTATATTACAGGAAATGAAAAAGGAGAACCATTTTAAAATAAAAAAGAGTATCCATTTCTCAAATAAACATTTGTTAGCTTAAATATTAAGGCATTTTAAATAACTCATTTTAAAATCAATCAATAACGTGATCTTCTATACTATTATAATTATAATACTATTATAAAAAAGAGGTGGTTGCTGTATGTGTGTATGTGTGTATGGGAAAAGTAAACTCGAAAAATACTGGTCGGATTGGGCTGAAATTTGGCATGATGATAGCTCACATTCCCGATTAACATATAGGCATATTCTTATTTCAAAAATCCTTTCGGGCTCCGCCCCAGTGGCTCTGGAGTTTCCCATGTTAAACTTATGAGAAATGGAATTATTGAATCTTAACAGCTGTTTCAATTAAACAAGTTGGTTCTGTCCTATGATGTTCAATAGCATTAAAGTTACAAGGATTACCAACAGGGTGCAGCACTATTATTTCTTTTACATTTATGACAACAGCTAATTTGCAACCAAAAGGTGAGTGAGCGTAGCGAACGAACTTCAACCTGGAGGCGAGTTAGCGTAGCGAACGAGCTAACCTGAAGGCAAGTGAGCGCAGCGAACGAGCTCCAACCTAAAGGTGAGTGAGCGTAGCGAACAAACTTCAACCAGGACGTGATTGAGCCATGCGAACGAGATAATCTTGAAAATTAAGAAGTTAAACGGGGCAAAGCCCGCGGGTTACAGCTAGTAAATTATAAGAACTCTATGATCACTTAATGAATTAGTATTTACTAATTTGTAATTAATAATATTTATTGAGCACGAAGAATACTTTTAAGGAGAAGGCACAAATTAATGTGTTAACTAAATAAAAAAATTATACCCTTTGGCAAAAAGAGTCTGCCTGAACCGATAAACTAGAATGAATAATGTAGTTAGACAAATTAATTGATTAATTAATTAATTTTTCTAGGAACCCTATGTATTTTGCCTCGCTGCATGTTAAGGGTGTTGTTAATTTTCAATAACCGTTTTTTATTGTATTCAGTTTTATCACAATGAGCTACAAGCTTATAAACGCTCACTCATATCTCACTTTTGTATTTCTAGAAACTATGACAAACATTTTGATTAAAAAAGGAAATGGAACAGAAAGATAAAAGTGTAGAATTAACGTAGATAATATGGTAGAGATAAGTTCAAAACTAGAATTAGAAAACTTTTAATGTTTATTTCATTCGCTTTACTACTCAATTTACCAGCAAACAAAGAAAGGTTGCTATCTCTGAACACCCCTTTGTGAATCTTTTTTAAACTTATGCTAACTTAAGTGTTTAAATTATGTTATTTATTATTTTTGTTAATGGTATTTTTTTTTATGAAGATTGTGTTTATTGTACTTTATAAACATTAATTAATACAACATTCACACTATTCGGCTGATGTTTAAAAGTTACTCGTTAAATCTACACTATAAAACGTACATAATCTGAAACTTATTAGTATTTTATTGTATTTTATGAGGGGGCGGACTCAGGACCTTGACACGTCAACCGAAGCTCAACTTGCCTCTAACCAGGTAAGCATAAAATGTACAAATAACTAGGTAATACCTGTGTCCCTGGCCAGGTCCAGGATTTTTGCACAATGTTAGCGCCTGGTTCATCATCTGACTGCTTTTAACCAAACAGGGCTCTTCTCCTGTCCCCAAGTCTGTAGCAATCCAGAATGAGGTGCTTTGCAGTATCATCTTACCGATTGCAAAGACGATACTGTCATTGATGATTGTGAAGGTGTTTCCTGAAATGGTCGTGTCCAACTTCAGCAGCCTGCGAGTGAAGAGGATGCTAGGTTCTCAGAACTGTTTCTTACCATGGTTGTACTAAATGGTTTCGCCATTATAAACGGAATGATTGCAGAAGCGAAAGGAAGGGAGAAGTAAAAAAGATTTATGCAAGAGAAAGCAAAGAAGACAGAAGAGCCTGCAAAAGAATAAGTATGCTGGTCATGGAACCCAGAAGTAAGAAGAGGAAGGGTCTAGGGGTTGCTACCTCGTGATTACTAACCCACAAATAGGCATTCCCTTTGATTGACAGACTACTACCCCAGAGGTGGTCACATTAAACCGTTGCGTCTCCCGAGCGCCGAGGGCAAATGAGTATCCCCCAGCGCCGAGGCCATATATTACCAAAGAGCCTGCTCAGTGGACAGTGATGCAGAATTGACGAGGGTTAATACCTTCTATTTTAAAAAGGTCTCAATGATTTTAATCTGTGAAGCAGAAAAGGTTAGGTTAGATTAGGTTAATCATTCAAGATTAAATGCGAGCATCTCAAAAGTACGAGAGTTGGTAAGCTGAATTAAAAAATATTCATTAAATGTTAATTAAAATTCGAAACGTATCATGTCTGTAATGAAATGAATGTTAAATTAACGTCATTATAGTGCTACAATGCTCAATTGGGCACACACCTTTACCGCAGTTCGTTGCTTTTGTGAATTACAATTCGGCTGTCAAAACTGTCAGATTATGCCAGATAGCCTGCTCGGCGCTGGGGAGACTCGGCGCTCGGGAGACTCGGCGTTCGGGAGACGGAATCACATTAAACACACGAATAAAAAAAATGCATTACAATATGATAACTATGAAGCCGAATAGTACCATTGAGTATAAACGTAACGTTTATACTCAATGATATTACTTGTTGAGTTAAATGACAAGTTAAATAAATGTGTTGGCCTTAGTCACTAACAAGACTATAAGATCGCACCACTTATCCTACCCTTATCCATCACCCATATTTGGGTTAAAATAGGCACATAGTGGCGTCCCCATCTTAAATAATTGATATAATTGATTGATTCATGATTAGTTTTAAAATGCTCCACACGTTTTTGGGTGGATGTTATTGATGTGTAATCTATCTATTGGAGGATATTTAAAGCTACACAACCAGGAATTCAATACATATCAATGAAATCTCTCAATGGAGTTTTTGCTGTAAGCGTTTTCATACAACAAACACTGCAGATAAAGTGTAATTCAATGTTTTCTCTAAACTAGTTCTGAACTTCGCCCCTAGCTGCTACACTAACAGTTTGTTTTTACACTAGTTTTGTTTACCTGGCTGAAACTCTTAATTGGTAGAAATAAACATCGTGTGAGTCTGCCACGACACCTAACGTCAAACTTAAGCCAATATTAAATAAAATGTTGGATTTTGACAATTTCAAGGAAGTTTAAAAACGTATTTAGACCCAACAATTCCAGCCATTGTTAGTAAATATAATTTTTCTAAACGAGTATTAGAACTTATATTCAACCAACATAGGCTTATTAAAAATAATTATGTCAATTTACATGTTCAAAGGTTTTGACTTAGATGGGAAAGACATATTATTTATAACTTTACTAAACATAGATACTGCTAATTACGTGATTTTTGCCGAGCACTGTATTCTTCCATTTTTAGGATGAACTGATTCTAGCCCTGAACTTGAGCTCTTCTGGTAATGCCTGTAAGAAGTGAAAGTGTAGTATTCTAGGTCACCAACCCCCGGCAAAATTTAGCCAAAATCGTACAACTTACTAGGGAAAGGGGTGATGGTAATATTAACAATTTATTCTTTATTCATTTTCAAAGGCCAAAACTAATGTACACTGATTGCAAAGACAAAAGCTATAACTAAACAATATTACAAAGACATGCAAACAAGATTGTAACTTGTTGTTACAAAGATGCATATTCAGGGTGTCCCGTAATTAAGTACAAAGAATTAAGGCATAGGTTTATTGGATCAAAATAAAATGAAATTAAGAATAACATTTTTTTGTAAAAATTCTTCTTAAGCATGATATTAAAAATTTTGTGTGTTTTAAGTTTTATTTTTTTAACTATTTCGAATATTTTTCTGAAACTTTGTATACAATTGGATAATACCATAATGTAATAATCATTACAAAATATGTTTTGATTTCAAAATAGCAGTAATTTAAAACTGTATAACTTAAATTACAAAAAAAAAAAAAAACGGCTGATTTTTTGGAACGATGCTAGGAACATTTTTATTTACCACTAGCTGTTGTGCCTGTGCTTTGCAACGGGAAAAGGACACGAAATAGAAACATTTTGATCTATACACCTGTTGTATAAAATAGTTACACATCCGCCAACTCTTTTAGAACACAATTCAACCTTTATAAGCTGTATTGAAACATTTATGGATTTTTAATCTGGTAAGTAGTGGAAACCACCATTTTGGTTTTGATTGATTTTAAATCTTGTGTCGGCTGATATGTAAATATTTTAGCAAATTTTCAAATAACATTTTTACACACATGATTTACCTTCCACTTCCCTATTCACATATCTTTTTCTTTATTTTTTACATTTTAAATTTCAAAATTGAAGCTGCATACTAATTATTAATTTTTAATAAACAATTTTTGTAGGCCAGTCTTCTTTAAACTAAATTACAAATCCTTCCATCTCTACCCACAATAAATCATTAGCAACTCTAACACCAGCTGTTATAAACTTTAGAAATATTGGTGTGCCTTATATCAATAGTCTTTAGAAGTACGAGCTGTTGGCCCGTCCTACGTACGGGAATCGAGTAGTCAATTAAAACTGAATATGATTCAGAACAGCTAGTTTACAACTTGGTGGCCGATTCACACACACTGGCTTTGAGTACAGTAGCTTTATACCACCTTCCACTGCATAGGCCTACTATCACTTACCGTGCCTTATTTTACCACCTTGGCCACTGAAACCACTAAAATGATCCTGGCCTCCCGTTCTCTTCTATCCCCTGCCATTTCTAAGGAAGATACCAGTCTGAAGATGTCTTTCATTACTTGGTCTTCTAAGTGGTCGTCTACCTTGTAGTACTCCTTGGAATACACTTTTAAAAGTTGAAGTATCTTCTCTCCGCCATGCAAAGCCTGCCCAGCCCATCCGAGATCTGAGCCTTTTGGAATGTACCCCTTTATCAAGTTTCTGAATCATACAGTACTACTGGGATAGTTATGATATGGTATGAATCGATTTTGGTTTCTACTGACACCCTGCAGCTTACTGGTCAGTTTTCTGGAGACATACTACACCGGTTGACATTTTCATTACGAATAAAATGTGTACTGTATGCAGTCATACTTATATTCAAACATCTAGAAAAAGATGTATCAACACGTAAACCACTTACATTTTAAAGGATTAAGCACTTATACTTAGACGAATTGCATTTATAACAAAACTTGATTATACGTTTAAAATGTTTAGTTCAAAATTACACTTAATCTCCTGATAACATAGATCTTTTACGGTAGAAAATAAACTGCATTTTAAAGTAAAATATTGTGTAGGCAAACTCTGACGATCAATAATTTTTTATACAAAATACTTGTAACATAAACATTTTAATGACAGTTAGAAACCAGCTGTTAGTAAACAGCTGTAGTAATTAGCCTCAGCGAGAGGCTTAAGTACAGGGGGGAGATCTGCCTGCGTGGTACTCGTTCCGACCGCAGGCTTCACTTTCCTAAAGTGAGGCTTGAGGTTGGAAGAAAGTCATTTTCTTATTTTGGCCCGCAGTTGTATAATGGCCTCCCTCAGGACATAAAGAGCTCCAAATCGTATGGCTCATTCAGGGCCGCAATGCAGAAAAAAAATGTAAATTGTAAATGTTTTTTTTTTGTAGTTTTTTTGGATATTAAATTTCTGTATATATTAGGTTAGTTTAGTTTTAGTTTGACTTGAGTAAGTTTGAAAATCATGTATATGAAACTCGCTTGTAAATAAAGGCCTTTTTATTTATTTATTTATTATTTATTATTAGTTAAACCATCACTAAAACTACTTTAACTCGTCCGTCGGCTGCTAGACTTTTTGAAAATTAAAACTTAATTTCTAAAAAACTGAAACCCTAAACTAAAATTATGGCTTCGACATTCCCTAGTTCTCAAAATTATCTTTCTTTCAACACAAAAATCATAAAAATCCGTCAAGGGGTTGATTCAGAATCGTGAAATAAAAAAACCCTGTTTCGTTTTAATATACAGGATTAAAGAAACGATATCTATGCTATAAAATAATCTTGTTTTAACTTCATCGAATAGCAACTGCTAAGCTGTGGCCTAAGAAAAGGTTTACTTTCCCCGAACAGTAGATTAATTACTATGCAACCAGAAAAAAGTAAGCATAAGTAGTGCCTATGTAGAGGATGTTAGTATTATATTTCATAAAAAAAAAACTCAAATTGATAAAAAAAACTTGATCAGTTGTTTTTAAATTTATTAGGACTAAACATAAACTAAAGGAAATATAAACATTATCTGAATATTAGGAACATTCATTAATAGGTAAATCTGTTTTACTGAATCTTATATGTAGTTTGCACCTGTATGTCATTAATAGGGCAGTCATACCCGACTGGTCATTTAATGACGTCGACGGAGTCATTATAACAACAACAGCTCGTCCTAATGACCAAGGTGACGTGAAATTACACAGATGAGAGTGACGTGCTCAAACTTTATATTAGATTCAATGGTGGGCTCTTTTAGAAAGAATTTAAAATTTAATTTTACTGTTTTTTAACTTCTGAATCGGTTGACTTTTAATAAATTATAGTTATTGCGGACATTTTCCATCTCGATGGTAAAACACAAAATCATCACCACCATCAACTACCATGGTGTTAACTCACCATCACCAACAATGAACTTCAAACAAAGGAAAGTATTAG